GTTGACAATTCATAATCATGATAATTGAAAATTTTGCGGTTTAAATCACTTCTAATCAAAATCATCATGCCTAGAACTGCTAGGCGAAAACGAGAAAAGGAAAAAGAGCTTGTAGAAACAGCTAAAACGATGCGAAAACTGACGAGTTTTTTTAGTAGTGCTCCAGCAGAGAACGTTGTTGACCAAAACATCGACTATAGGTCTAATTTGACACTGCCGTCAGCTACAGAAACTCCATCAACGTGTTTATCTCCTCATTCTCACGAATCTGACTCTACATCGTCTTCACAGATACTAGTCGCGCCGCCGACCGAACCAGTTCTCACACCTTCTCAAAACCTAACGTATGCGTCTTTGCCAAGTTCCACGACTACTGCCCTAATGGTAGGACCTATGCAAATTGAGTCAACGGAATGTTTGCTAGGACTCGATTGTAAGCGTTTGTGCTGTACAGGCCGACAGCCTTACCATCCTACCCTAGAAGAAATAAAGCACGCGTCTAGAAAGCAAACCAGTACAGGAGGATCGTCGAATGTACGAACTTGTCCGTCTTCTATATTTTTGAAATATACATGGGTCACATACTGCATGACAAAAGGCACCATTGCCTGTTACTTCTGTAAAAGAGCGATGCGTCAAGACCTTGTTACTTACAGTCACATAATGGTGAAAAGGCTTTTCTCCTAGGACAATTCAGTGACGTTTAATAGCTAAGGACGTTTAATAGCTAAGGACTTTGTTCTCAAAAACGAACGTAGGGTTAGATTTTTTGGGAAATTTTAATGAGATCGCATTACTTAATAAAATTGTTCATGTAGTCATCTTAGTTTAATTTGTTACCACGCACGCCGAGCAGTAGAGAATACGCATAGCATTCTAAGAATGTCTACCAATATTTTGCAGACTTTGAAACTTAATCATGATTCATGAAACAATGCATAACTGTAATATACTAAAACAGTAAGCTGAAAACTCACTTGCCCTTTTCGGTCAGTGCCCCCCCCCCACTTTTGAGATACTTCCGCGGCCCCTGGGTCGGAGTGGTGCGCCCTCTTTGAGGATTTTAGGCAATCCATACATACGTGGTCTCTCTGCACCGGTTGGACGAACTAAATTATAAAAATCCTCACTGGTTTGATTTGACTTTCTTAATTCTGAGAGAAGTAATTGTAATCTCCTTTCTATTAAAGAGGTTTTGTCACAATCTGGCCATTTACCAAGCTTGCAAAATTTTTTCTCTTAGTTTAAAATGCTTAGCATTTTGCTATTGTAGTCCTCCCTATCTAAAATCACTACAGAACCTTTGTCTGGTTTGCAAATTACAATATTCTTATTTTTATTCAAATTAGAAAGGGCAATCATATGTTTTTTCGTTAGAGAATGTTCTTTGGAATCGACCTTACACTCCAAATAAGTGTGCGCAAGGCTTGACAGTTTGCTCTTAAAGCCAGGAACTTCTTCGATATCGCGTGCTTCAAACTTTCCTAACTGTGACTATAATATTTCAAACTCTGAAAACATGTCCTCTTTTTTCAAATTACTAGGTGGAATTCCAAACTTTGGACCTCTGGACAAAACATCCATTTCAAACGCAGGAAGTTGATATGATGAAAGATTTGTTACATGTGATGCTGCAGAATCAATGTGACTACTTTTTTGTATGAAACATTTCAACCTATCGTCATTATTCTTCCGTTCAACAACCCATTTTTTATATCTTGTGTCTCCCAAGTAAGCACAAAATCGTATGTGATCATGCTTTGAGAGAAAACCTTTGACAACTACCATCTGTCTAAGAAGATAACTTCTCAAATACTGAAGCTTAGATTGTTCCTTATTAATGTCATCTGTCAAAAATGCCTTTCCATAGACAATGTATGTCTAGCCCTGCTTCTTGCTATCCTAGTAGTTACATCATTCCATCATTCGAACGACCCTTTCGTTCGCTGTTTCTTGGCATTATAAATATCGGTAGATTGTATATTTTCATTTAGCAGACGTTGACACCTGAGGAGTAGTCTGCGGAAATGTATCGTGCTTTCTAATTTAGAACTATTGGTTTAGTGCTCTTTAACAGTTCTTTTAAGAGCTATCAACTTGTTATATTACTTTTACCATTCACAATAGTATTAGCTATCTTTAGAACTATTTTATTATTGAAACCAAATACATGCATAACACTAATTTTGAGTTTATATTACATGTTTCTCCAGTACTAAAAACGCGTGCCATACTACGCTTATTAAAACCACCAATATCTTGCAGCGTTCACTAATTTATCATACTTGGCTTTGAAAGTTAAGCAGTTATTTGTTGCATATTTATCTCTCCTCCTTTAATAAGTAAACGCTACCAACATAACCATCTTCTTTAGACAAAAAGGCTGTTTTTTGGAGTAAAATGCCAGGCTCAAAAACATGGGCATAACATCAATGGAGGTTAATTAACATTATGTTATCACAACAATTTCACCTGAAGCATTTCCTCAGCATTTCTTGCAAGAAGATTAACACCCAGAGTGATTAAAGCATGATAAAACCACTTGCATAATAAAGCACCTTCGGGAAAATTTATTCTAACCATGTCTGCAGTTTAGTTTGTTGAGATGAATTAGAGAGAAATCGATTACTTCAAATGTGCACGTGCAATTCATCTGAGAGACAAAATAAACAATTTTTTGTCTTGGATTAAGTGATTGCTCCAGAAATAAGATGATTTATTGCTTACAAATGTCCCTATAGTTGCATGAAAACTGTCTTATATAGCTGATAGCCATCTTTTTAGCTCATATAAGGGTAGTCTGCAGCCTGTTGCATACTCTGGTCATTATTTGAATGCTCTGAAGTGATAAATGCACGCACGAAATAATTCATTGTATTTGAAGCTATGACGTCTGTGCAAGTTTTGGAGATAGATTATCTGACCCACATTATGTCTCATAAAGCGATAAGACAAGATAAGCAAAGAAAAAAGTGTAGCAGCTGATTTATCTCCTGAATCCGCAGCTTTACCTTATTAAAAATTGAGCTGTTCATTAAATTTTTTTTAATGCCGTACCGTTCTAATATTGTGCATACGAGGAAGTTCGAAGACAGCGCTTTCTCTAAAAATACATAATGGAAACTGAAACACTAAATGTCTTTATACATAAATCAAATTTCCTCAATTGTATTAATGTAAAAAATGCATCCTGTGCAAATATCGTCATATTTGAAAAACTTTCGTTTTTGCGAAAATCATATTTGTGAAAAACTTCAAGAAGTTAAAAAAAGTAACATGTTGCAGCTTTGGCATTATAGTTAAGAAAATAAAATAAAGATACGCGCTTTAAAAAGTCTTTAAACTTTTCTAGCAAACTGCGTATTTGATACTTCTATCTACCTCTCATAAACTATAAACAATAGCAACTATTTAGTTCAAGATTAAGAATTTTTGAGAAGTTTTACTTTCCATGCTCATCCTTATTTTCATTTATGACTGGTGATACTTATGTGTGGATTGCTTAGATAGCATACAAACAAACAAGTTTTTAGGCATTTATGTTAAACCTTGTCAAACATTTAAACATACTTTTTAAAGTATAAATGAATTTGTTATAGCATAAACTTTTGACTCTCAAATATAACTATTGTCAAAAAGGTATAGCTAGAGGATGCAGTATACCCAAAGTAGGATATTAATCTTAATTCCGACCTTTATTTCAGTTATCACAATTATATGATGGAAATAAATGAATGCATTGGATGGGAAGCTATGACGGCTTCGGCGATGAATATTCTGATACACATTATGTCTCATGAAGCGATAAGAAAAAGACAAACGAAGATAAAAGCATAGCAACTGTAATATCTCTAGAATCTACAGCTGTACCATATTAAAAATTTAGCTGTTTAATAAAAGAAATTTTAAGGGCAGTTTCTTCCTAATTCTGTGCATACGAGGAGGCAGGAAGACGACACTTTCTCTAAAAGTATCTACATGATATATGCACATGTATCCAAAAGTAGAGAGGCAAACCATTTATAAAATTATACTCTTTAGATATTCAAAACAAATAGTGTGTTTTTCTCAAAGTACTTTGAATTTGAAATTGAGCAAGTATAATTTATTTTAACGAACGCTTGATCTGCTACTGCTAAATTCCTTTACATATCAACCAATTTTCCTCAATTGCATTAGATATGAAAAAACATCCTTTGGAAACCTCGTCACGTTTGTAGAACTTTCGTTTTTGTGATATCATTTTATGTAAAGACTTTAAGAGGTCAAACAAACCAGCATGTTGCTTTACAAATACAATAAAGAATAGAAAATAAAGATAAGAACTTTAAAAACTCTTATACATATATTTCTTGTGAAGTCATACTTTTCATGAATTTCCTGATTTTCATTTATTACTGGCGACAGTTATATGTGGAATGCTTGACTATAGCATTAAAACAAGCAAGTTCTTAATCAATTATTTAAAACATTGTCATATACTTTTTTAAATTTATGAATAAATTTTTCATAGCAGAAACGTTTTTACTCTCAAATATAACTAATGTCACACAGGGATGTATTAAAAGAAAGAAAAAAACAATCAAAATGGGCTAGCAACAATTAGCATTTTATGAACTTCCTTTACGTAAATCGAAAAAGAGAGTTTTTTGTTTTTACGTGACAAAATGATAGTGAGACTTAACATGCAATTGTGATGCCGTGCAAGCGTCACAAAGCCGTATTTCCGCACTGGTGCTCTAATTTGAATTCATCTGACTTCCACGTGGAATTGAAATCAACAGAACATGAGCATAAGAGCAATGTTCACAAAAAAGCATTGTCACAATGACTAAAGTGGGAGCGGAAGTAGCATCACAAGTTTATACCAACATCTTTTAAAATGAAATCTTGTGTGATTACTTCAACCATATTGTTGTTAATAAACATCGTACTTTGTGCGATATCTCAGACTTGCGATAACATAAAATACACGACTATTAATGATGCCAGACGCAGTACCAAGTACAGGTCTGAAAATGAAATATGTGATCAGGATTTTATCGAGGATGATAAATGGTATCGTTTCGACAGTATAACTGGAACAACAATGCCAACTAAAGATCCGGGACTCCGCTCTTGTGGCACATATGGAGCGCTCTGGTTCAGGGGAATACACCCGACAACTGATAACGTGATTGTCGACGCTACTGCTTGTGCACGCTGGCCGTTTACTCTGCCTACTGAATGTGGTATATCATACAAAATAAAAGTAATAAAATGTGGACCATTTTATTTGTATCGATTGAAAAAGCCTCGTCGATGTAATGTGGCGTATTGTGCAGGTATATTAATTAACGACTGGTAATTCATGTTTAGTTATGTTAATCAAGACTAATACGCATCCGTATTTTATTTTAAATTGAACGACACTAGTAATTATTAACGAAAGAAGACAAGATTTTATTCGTGAAACTTTCTTGTTCGTGAAATTTGTGCTTGAATTTTTAATTGTTGCTTGTTTTTTCGTGATAAATAAAACATTGGCTCTCAGCGTTATTTGTTTATACTGAGAGTAAATTTGATGTTTAATGAATGTTTACAGAGACAATATGGGGCGCGAAGTGTTTCTTTATTATTTACGGAATTTTTAAGGTTTAATTTCATTATTTATTAAATAACCAAACGTAATAGGTTGGTTATGTGAAATAACCAATTTGCCGAAACATGGTTATTTAACAAATAACCATTTTTTGGACTAGCATAAGTTTGGTTATATCAAATAATCAATTGACAAAATTTGGTTATTTAATAAATAACCATTTTGATTTCGGTACCGATTTGGTTATAATCAAATAACCAAAGAATTTTGTTACAGTTTGCACACTTAAGATGACGTAACGTTTGTGATCTACTTACCCTCTCCCGCTGTAGAAAGTTTGAAGCATGGTTTCCGGTTCAATATTATAGTTCCCTGATTTAAGCATGGCGGATAATACAAATGATATTTCGAGAAGGCTGACAGAAGCGATAGGAAGGGTAATCACGCAAAATTTGGGTACAAGAGATGTAAATGAGCGAGTTATTTCGCATTTAGTTTATATCAATCCAACAGTAGTCTGTCTTTGTTGATTTGAAACAAATTTAACAGATGAGCATTGAGCACGAGACAAATGATCCACTGGTCATTCAAACCTGTGGCTTGCTACATAAAATCAAAGATATTTCGTCGATTCAGATTTTAAGTATTTTTCTAAATCAGCAGGCATCAACGGCTGATGACATCCCAAGCCAAAACAGTTCTAATTCTAGTTCTATTACAGTCCAGCCTGTCCAGGTACGTTGCCTTTTTACAGCTGACCCCTGGGTTACAAACTTACTATGTGCCTGGTCACTAGAGATGCTTTCCAGAGACACTCTTTTGTTAACATTTTTTTATTTCTCAAAGTTTTATTTCACATGATTAAAAGGAACAAAAACATAATTGTGATATACACAATGTGTTCTCTGTAGCAAAGAATTCCAGTTCAAGCTACCTATTTATAATTTGTTTTGGCATCAAGGTTAGGGTTGATGCTATGATTGTCAATGTTTCATTTGATTGTTTAGCTTGTAATGACTGAAAATATACAAGATTTACATGAAAGGTATCATTGTATTCCTCTAAATCATGTTTACTTTGAGATATACTTTCTTCTTTATGCACATAAATTTGTGCATTTTCAATGTTGGATATCTCCACATAGGAATGTTGAAGGCTTGATCTGTTGGTGGTAAACAAACAACATCCTTAGTGTAAACTTTTCCTCTTTTAGGAAGGCATGCAGAAGATAGTTTTCTTTTCTTTCAGCCAGTTACTCCACCAAAAAGTGAAGGGTTGTCTAAGAAGTAATTTAAACTTTTAATAGATTGCTTAATCATGTTTGACTTCTAATCCCAAACCATAATGTACAAAGTAAATAAGAAATTGCTTATGCCTACTGGCATTGACAACAATTCAACTCTGGGAACTCATATTTTGGCACTGCAAATTTCTCATTTGGTGACAACATAATATAAACTCCTGATAGCATAGATATGATAAATGTAATGTGGTTATTAACATTGTCAATGTTCATCAATGAATATCTGATTCACATTGATAATTTATCATAAAAAATCTTACCACACTGAGGTGACAACTTGAATTTGATGTCTCCAAATATGTTTGAGCTGGAATTCTTTGCTACAGAGAACACATTGTGTATATCACAATTATGTTTTGCTCCTTTTAATCATGTGAAATAAAACTTTGAGAAATAAAAAAATGTTAACAAACGAGTGTCTCTGGAAAGCATCTCTAGTGACCAGGCACATAGTAAGTTAGTAACCCACGGGTCAGCTGTAAAAAGTCAACGTACCTGGACAGGTTGGACTGTAATAGAACTAGAATTAAAACTGTTTTGGCTTGAAATATTATTTGTATTATCCGCCATGCTTAAATCAGGGAACTATAATATTGAACCGGAAACCATGCTTCAAACTTTCTACAGGGGGAGAGGGTAAGTTGATCACAAACGTTACGTCATCTTAAGTGTGCAAACTGTAACAAAATTCTTTGGTTACTTGATTATAACCAAATCGGTACCGAAATCAAAATGGTTATTTATTAAATAACCAAATTTTGTCAATTGATCATTTGATATAACCAATTTGATTACCGAGCTAAATATGGTTATTTATTAAATAACCAAGTAGCGTACAATTGGTTATTTGATATAACCAAATCGGTACCCAAATCAAAATGGTTATTTATTAAATAACTAAATTTTGTCAATTGATTATTTGATGTAACCAAACTTATGCTAGTCCAAAAAATGGTTATTTGTTAAATAACCATGTTTTGGCAAATTGGTTATTTGACATAACCAACCTAGTACGTTTGGTTATTTAATAAATAATGAAATTAAACATTATAAATTTCGTAAATAATAAAGAAACACTTCGCGCCACATAAGAAAATACAACTCGATTGTGGCATGCTGTCAAACTAGCGTCCAGCTTTCTGAAATGTCTATTGTTCACATGTAAGACGGTGCAATTTTGAACAACTATTATTATTTTCTTAGCAACTTGTCCAATGTTTTTTGCAAACCTTGCATGTTCTGTTTCTCTTTCAATTAAAATGCTTATGGCGTTCCGTTGCGGACAAAAATATGATTATTGAAATGCCAAAACTATATCTTGAAAACATATGAGTTGTGTGTCGAAAACAAGATAATTTGCATGTTGAATTTCTTGCAATATTAACTCCTAATGAAAATTTACAAATTGATGGTTGAATGCATTTTAATTGATCATTGAACATTTCACAAAATTCGACTGTTTAAAATTTAAAAATTGTATATCGAAGAGAAACGGACGTGTTAAAGAAACTTAACCGGAAACGAAACGACACAAAAAAGAGACCACTGACAGAGACGCGTAGTAAAGGTGGATTTCCTCTACCCAGTATGGCGGAAAAAAGGTAAATGGTAAGGGTAAGTGTCACAGAAAAAGTCAATAAATCGATATTCTCTCTTAATGTGGAGCCAGACGTTTGGTTTCCGTGACCGATTGGCAAAACTCAAGTTGAAAACTCCAATGATCCTTCTCTTGTTTAGAAGAAGATTACAAAGCATAACATTATAAAAATACAAAAAGTGCATGTGGGTTAAGAAAATTTTTGAAGAGAGAAAAGAAAAAGGCGAGTTTCATCTTCTTGTTCGTGACAACATAAAATGAGGATCTTTTGCAGCGTGTTGCCCCACTAATTGTAACATCAAATGAATGAAGAAAGCCAATATCTCCTAGTGAGCCACATTTTGTAACTTCGAGATACTTGGTAACTGGGAATTCGCATTTTTCACGACCTAACAGCTTTCGTATATATCCAAAATGGTTAACCGTAATATCAGAGAGAGATCTGTTGCTCTTTGGGATGCATTGTGAGCTGATTATTCAAAGTACATTCTGTAGATAAATCAGGCTGGAATAAAATAGCGAATAGTTTCAGCAAGAAGTGCAATTTTCCTCATTGTTTTGGGGCCATTGACGGAAAATGTATCGTTATGCAAGCACTCTCTAGGCCAGGATCTAGCTTCTTTTTAAGAAAACTCACATTATTGTGCTCACATGGCTGTTTGCCATATGCTTGATCTGTATTTACGTTGGTAGACATTAGAGATTCTGGACAAAACATTGATGGAGGGATGTTTTAAAGCAGCAATTTATGATACAAGCCTTAGAATAAAAACTCTTTTATGTTTACAACAACCAGACAAGATACCAGGCTATGGCAATGTTTGACCATGGGAGACGAGGCATTCAAATTTTCTGAACAGATGATGAAGCCACATCCAGTGGAGGTACTAACATTGAAAGAGTGAATTCATAATCACTTTTCTCATGAACATGAAGGCTCATTGATGGGAATACATTTGGCATTGCTGCTTTTCGGTTTCGAATATTGTGGCATCCAATTATCATTGATTTAGTTGGAAATTCAACTACTAAAGCAGTAGTTTCACTTTATGACTATTTTATTCATGGTAAAGAATTCGGGACCCATAATTACTGTTCTCCTGGTTTTGCAGACTTTGAGACGAGATATACATTCAAAAGACGTGGACTATATTCATGCATTGGTTTATATAACTTGATTGGTTTCGAATAACTAGTGCAAAAAAGTAATAGAAATTAGAGATGACTTCAGGAATTACTTTAGATTAGATCAATTTAAAGACAAGTACCATGGCAATACACACATGTAACAACAACCCAGGATCAAAGAGACAAAAATTAAGTTTATTTTGCAGAATTCAAAATGCTAGTAATGTACGATGGAGTGTGTAACATATAATTTCCTGCCATTAATAACCATGTAATGTATCTTTTAAAATTATGAAGACAGAAATCTGTGGAAAACAAGTTTGTTAGTTTTAAAGAATTGCAATAATTAATAAAAATAAAAGTATAGCATAAGAAAATATTTCGGTCACTGTCAAAACCCATCAATACTTGCATAATTTTTACTTATGCTTTTTTATTTTTCTTTGAAGAAAGTTTTCTTCTAAACATTTCAGTTGAAAAAGGGATTATTGAAAGCTCCATTCAGATAAAAATGAATGGATGGCAGAGCTCACTCTTGCAGTCTAATTTATATCACATACTTTGTTTAATGCACATGCTACATTCAAAATTATCCAAACTGCTGAAAATAAGTGATACCTTCATAAACATGGTATCATAATCAAGTGTGTCTCTTAGTCATTGTAAACAAGAATTTCGTCCCTTTCGTCCATGTGCTTTTTATTATCCTAATTTAAGGCCATAAATTACTTTGTAATAGTTATAAGCTGAAACGACATAACAAAAATTTACTAGCATCGATTTTGCACAAGCACAATTTTGTGCTTGTAACAAATTTTCCGTGTTTCACATCTTTGTCATACATTGTGAATAAAACATTTTTGTGATTTACATGTATTTATTTTTTATTGCTAAAATTGAAGGTGACAACAAGTGACATGTTTTGCATTTAGGTACTAAAGATCTTCCTGCAAATTGTAGAATAACAACAAATGGGACAATTTGTTCAGGTACGATATGTATTCATGTCCATTGAAGCACTGTGTTGCAAAATCTAGCTGTCGCAAAGCAACATTGATCATTGATATTTTTTGTAACATTCACTAGATTGCATGTATAGTTCAAAAAATTATTTCAGCATGTCTAGCAGAGAATCATAATGTACTTTTTGATGAAATTTAAATTTTTTGGACATTTTTTTAAATATCCACAAATATTTTTGCCTATTCATTCTTTTATAGCCTACCATGACTTAACATTCTGTCCCATGAACCTTACATATGCTGAGTGTATTAATTTTACTCATAATTCATCATTTCTTTAAGATGTTAACGAATGTCTTTCAAATCCCTGCAGCCAAAGTGCTACATGCATTGATAACGAAGGGTCATACGAGTGTCGCTGTAACAATGGATATTCTGGAAATGGGTTCTCCTGTATAAGTGAGTACTTTTTAAGTATTGATGCTCAGATTAATTCATTTTCCTTAGTCGAGTGTCACTCTTTTTTAAGACATCAATGAATGCTTGTCCAGCCCTTGTAACATCAGCGCCATCTGCATTGACACTAAAGGAGCTTTTGAATGTAGATGTCGTCAAGGTTTCTCTGGCAATGGATTTTCTTGTACAAGTAAGGCTCTATAACGTTTGATTGTGCATTATTCATTAAAAATATTATTGCTTAAGTTATCAATAAATACTTAAATAACCCTTGTGATATCAATGGTAATTGTACTGATACTGAAGGATCGTATGAGTGTCGATATAGTGAAGGTTATTCTGGAAATGGATTCACTTGTACAAGAAAGAATTTATACATTTTAGCGTAGAAATTCATTAATCAAAAAATAGTTGTCACCTGCATATAAATGAAAATAGTCTGGTTTTTCATTTAAAGAGTAATCGCATCTTTTTTGAAATTTACTCGTCAGTTTTCATTTATTTAAGATATCAACGAATGTCTTTCGAATCCTTGCAACAAAAGTGCTAACTGCACTGACAATAAAGGATCATATGAATGTCGCTGTAAAGAAGGATATTCTGGAAATGGATTCTTTTGTACAAGTAGGAAATTTGTAAAATTATTTAAAACTGCCTTAGTGTTTTTTTTACGAAGTTTCCTCGTATATTTAGATATAGACGAGTGTTTGTCTGATCCTTGTAACATTAGTGCTAACTGTACTGACACTGAAGGATCTTTTAAATGTCAATGTAATGAAGGTTTTTCAGGCAATGGATTCTCTTGTACAAGTAAGGATTTATAGTGTTTAACGACGAAGTGGATTTGTATTACCTTTCTAGATCTAAAACTTATTGTTTAAGATATGAATGAGTGCTTGCATAACCCCTGTGACGTCAATGCTAATTGTACTGATACTGAAGGATCGTTTAAATGTCAATGTAGTGAAGGTTATTCTGGAAATGGATTCTTTTGTACAAGTAAGGATTTATAAATTTTGACGTAGAAATAATTTATCAAAACGTAACTTTAACTTTCATATAAATGAAAAACAGTCAGGACTTTCACATAAAGAGCAATTGAATTTTTTTTAAAATTTTACTCGTCATTTTTCATTTTTTTAAGATATCAACGAATGTCTTTCGAATCCTTGCAACAAAAGTGCTAACTGCACTGACAATAAAGGATCATATGAATGTCGCTGTAAAGAAGGATATTCTGGAAATGGATTCTTTTGTACAAGTAGGAAATTTATGAAATCGTATATTATTGCCTTAGTGTTTTTTATACGAAATTTCCTCGTATATTTAGATGTAGACGAGTGTTTGTCTGATCCTTGTAACATTAGTGCTAACTGTACTGACACTGAAGGATCTTTTAAATGTCAATGTAATGAAGGTTTTTCAGGCAATGGATTCTCTTGTACAAGTAAGGATTTATAGTGTTTAACGACGAAGTGGATTTGTATTACCTTTCTAGATCTAATACTCATTTTTTAAGATATGAATGAGTGCTTGCATAACCCCTGTGACGTCAATGCTAATTGTACTGATACTGAAGGATCGTTTGATTGTCAATGTAGTGAAGGTTATTCTGGAAATGGATTCTTTTGTACAAGTAAGGATTTATAAATTTTGACGTAGAAATAATTTATCAAAACGTAACTTTAACTTTCATATAAATGAAAAACAGTCAGGACTTTCACATAAAGAGCAATTGAATCTTTTTTAAAATTTTACTCGTCATTTTTCATTTTTTTAAGATATCAACGAATGTCTTTCGAATCCTTGCAACAAAAGTGCTAACTGCACTGACAATAAAGGATCATATGAATGTCGCTGTAAAGAAGGATATTCTGGAAATGGATTCTTTTGTACAAGTAGGAAATTTATGAAATCGTGTATTATTGCCTTAGTGTTTTTTATAAGAAATTTCCTCGTATATTTAGATGTAGACGAGTGTTTGTCTGATCCTTGTAACATTAGTGCTAACTGTACTGACACTGAAGGATCTTTTAAATGTCAATGTAATGAAGGTTTTTCAGGCAATGGATTCTCTTGTACAAGTAAGGATTTATAGTGTTTAACGACGAAGTGGATTTGTATTACCTTTCTAGATCTAAAACTTATTGTTTAAGATATGAATGAGTGCTTGCATAACCCCTGTGACGTCAAAGCTAATTGTACTGATACTGAAGGATCGTTTAAATGTCAATGTAGTGAAGGTTATTCTGGAAATGGATTCTTTTGTACAAGTAAGGATTTATAAATTTTGACGTAGAAATAATTTATAAAAACGTAACTTTAACTTTCATATAAATGAAAAACAGTCAGGACTTTCACATAAAGAGCAATTGAATCTTTTTTAAAATTTTACTCGTCATTTTTCATTTTTTTAAGATATCAACGGATGTCTTTCGAATCCTTGCAACAAAAGTGCTAACTGCACTGACAATAAAGGATCATATGAATGTCGCTGTAAAGAAGGATATTCTGGAAATGGATTCTTTTGTACAAGTAGGAAATTTATGAAATCGTGTATTATTGCCTTAGTGTTTTTTATAAGAAATTTCCTCGTATATTTAGATGTAGACGAGTGTTTGTCTGATCCTTGTAACATTAGTGCTAACTGTACTGACACTGAAGGATCTTTTAAATGTCAATGTAATGAAGGTTTTTCAGGCAATGGATTCTCTTGTACAAGTAAGGATTTATAGTGTTTAACGACGAAGTGGATTTGTATTACCTTTCTAGATCTAAAACTCATTTTTTAAGATATGAATGAGTGCTTGCATAACCCCTGTGACGTCAATGCTAATTGTACTGATACTGAAGGATCGTTTGATTGTCAATGTAGTGAAGGTTATTCTGGAAATGGATTCTTTTGTACAAGTAAGGATTTATAAATTTTGACGTAGAAATAATTTATCAAAACGTAACTTTAACTTTCATATAAATGAAAAACAGTCAGGACTTTCACATAAAGAGCAATTGAATCTTTTTTAAAATTTTACTCGTCATTTCTCATTTTTTTAAGATATCAACGAATGTCTTTCGAATCCCTGCAACAAAAGTGCTAACTGCACTGACAATAAAGGATCATATGAATGTCGCTGTAAAGAAGGATATTCTGGAAATGGATTCTTTTGTACAAGTAGGAAATTTGTGAAATTATGTAAAATTGCCTTAGTGTTTTTTATACGAAGTTTCCTCGTATATTTAGATGTAGACGAGTGTTTGTCTGATCCTTGTAACATTAGTGCTAACTGTACTGACACTGAAGGATCTTTTAAATGTCAATGTAATGAAGGTTTTTCAGGCAATGGATTCTCTTGTACAAGTAAGGATTTATAGTGTTTAACGACGAAGAGGACTTGTATTACCTTTCTAGATCTAAAACGTATTTTTTAAGATATGAATGAGTGCTTGCATAACCCTTGTGACGTCAAAGCTAATTGTACTGATACTGAAGGATCGTTTCAATGTCAATGTAGTGAAGGTTATTCTGGAAATGGATTCTTTTGTACAAGTAAGGATTTATAAATTTTGACGTAGAAATAATTTATCAAAACGTAACTTTAATTTTCATATAAATGATAAACAGTCAGGACTTTCACATAAAGAGCAATTGAATCTTTTTTAAAATTTTACTCGTCATTTTTCATTTTTTTAAGATATCAACGGATGTCTTTCGAATCCTTGCAACAAAAGTGCTAACTGCACTGACAATAAAGGATCATATGAATGTCGCTGTAAAGAAGGATATTCTGGAAATGGATTCTTTTGTACAGGTAGGAAATTTGTGAAATTATGTAAAATTGCCTTAGTGTTTTTTATACGAAGTTTCCTCGTATATTTAGATGTAGACGAGTGTTTGTCTGATCCTTGTAACATTAGTGCTAACTGTACTGACACTGAAGGATCTTTTAAATGTCAATGTAATGAAGGTTTTTCAGGCAATGGTTTCTCTTGTACAAGTAAGGATTTATAGTGTTTAACGACGAAGTGGATTTGTATTACCTTTCTCGATCTAAAACTTATTGTTTAAGATATGAATGAATGCTTGCATAACCCCTGTGACGTCAATGCTAATTGTACTGATACTGAAGGATCGTTTAAATGTCAATGTAGTGAAGGTTATTCTGGAAATGGATTCTTTTGTACAAGTAAGGATTTATAAATTTTGACGTAGAAATAATTTATCAAAACGTAACTCTAATTTTCATATAAATGATAAACAGTCAGGACTTTCACATAAAGAGCAATTGAATCTTTTTTAAAATTTTACTCGTCATTTTTCATTTTTTTAAGATATCAACGGATGTCTTACGAATCCTTGCAACAAAAGTGCTAACTGCACTGACAATAAAGGATCATATGAATGTCGCTGTAATGAAGGATATTCTGGAAATGGATTCTTTTGTACAAGTAGGAAATATATGAAATCATGTATGATTGCCTTAGTGTTTTTTTATACGAAATTTCCTCGTATATTTAGATGTAGACGAGTGTTTGTCTGATCCTTGTAACATTAGTGCTAACTGTACTGACACTGAAGGATCTTTTAAATGTCAATGTAATGAAGGTTTTTCAGGCAATGGATTCTCTTGTACAAGTAAGGATTTATAGTGTTTAGCGACGAAGTGGACTTGTATTACCTTTCTCGATCTAAAACTTATTGTTTAAGATATGAATGAATGCTTGCATAACCCCTGTGACGTCAATGCTAATTGTACTGATACTGAAGGATCGTTTAAATGTCAATGTAGTGAAGGTTATTCTGGAAATGGATTCTTTTGTACAAGTAAGGATTTATAAATTTTGACGTAGAAATAATTTATCAAAACGTAACTCTAATTTTCATATAAATGATAAACAGTCAGGACTTTCACATAAAGAGCAATTGAATCTTTTTTAAAATTTTACTCGTCATTTTTCATTTTTTTAAGATATCAACGGATGTCTTACGAATCCTTGCAACAAAAGTGCTAACTGCACTGACAATAAAGGATCATATGAATGTCGCTGTAATGAAGGATATTCTGGAAATGGATTCTTTTGTACAAGTAGGAAATATATGAAATCATGTATGATTGCCTTAGTGTTTTTTTATACGAAATTTCCTCGTATATTTAGATGTAGACGAGTGTTTGTCTGATCCTTGTAACATTAGTGCTAACTGTACTGACACTGAAGGATCTTTTAAATGTCAATGTAATGAAGGTTTTTCAGGCAATGGATTCTTTTGTACAAGTAAGGATTTATAGTGTTTAACGACGAAGTGGATTTGTATTACCTTTCTCGATCTAAAACTTATTGTTTAAGATATGAATGAATGCTTGCATAACCCCTGTGACGTCAATGCTAATTGTACTGATACTGAAGGATCGTTTCAATGTCAATGTAGTGAAGGTTATTCTGGAAATGGATTCTTTTGTACAAGTAAGGATTTATAAATTTTGACGTAGAAATAATTTATCAAAACGTAACTTAAACTTTCATATAAATGAAAAACAGTCAGGACTTTCACATAAAGAGCAATTGAATCTTTTTTTAAATTTTACTCGTCATTTTTTATTTTTTTAAGATATCAACGGATGTCTTACCAATCCTTGCAACAAAAGTGCTAACTGCACTGACAATAAAGGATCATATGAATGTCGCTGTAAAGAAGGATATTCTGGAAATGGATTCTTTTGTACAAGTAGGAAATTTGTGAAATTATGTAAAATTGCCTTAGTGTTTTTTATACGAAGTTTCCTTGTATATTTAGATGTAGACGAGTGTTTGTCTGATCCTTGTAACATTAGTGCTAACTGTACTGACACTGAAGGATCTTTTAAATGTCAATGTAATGAAGGTTATACTGGCAATGGACATTTTTGTACAAGTAAGAAATCCTTGATATTTTTTAATTTCATGCATCTGTACAAAGTTTTTCATCACTTTTTTTTCATTTAGATATTAACGAATGCCTTTCTGATCCTTGTAAAATCTATGGAAAATGTACTGATAGTGAGGGATCGTATGAATGTCACTGTAGAGAAAGATGCTCCGATGATGACAGTTTTTCCGTTATAATGGGCATAAAATATACTGGATTTGCTGGAGGTTTACTACAAATTACGTGCCGTTTTAATGGTCCATCTACACCAAGTTTTGTATGGAAAAATGGTAGCCAATTGCTCTCTTTTTCGGAAAGAATAAAAATTGAAACCAATGGCAAAATCTCAAATCTTTTTGTTCGCAAAACGCTAAAAACTGATTCCGGTTTTTACCATTGCATCGCAAGGTAAGTTATTTTTCTATTGCTTTTTTAGTTATTTGAGACTAGATTTCGTTTATCGTTTTACGACGCTTGATGACGCGTATATTGAAGTGAAGCATGTAATTCAAACTAGGTTTATATTAAAGCAATTATTCACATATCTAATTCATACAATGAGTAGTAGACAAATTTCAAAACCTTTTCATGTTTTAAAAAACTTTGCTAGGAAAGCTGAATACATCATTTATAGCAATGTCTCTATTAAAGTAAAAGTCGCTCCAGTTGTGTCTGTTTTTCCACACTCAATATCTACTAAAGAAGGTATGTATTAGGTTACTTGAGTTGAACTTCTCGGGCCGGTTGCACGAGGCTTGGATAGCGTTATCTATTGGATAGTTAAAATTGTCAAACTTGAAAAAAGTGCTTATAATTTCATTACGACAAAGAATTCTTGTAATCTTAGAAGCAATATTTCATTTCAGTGATTGCTCAGTTCAAATCTTATATTTTTACTTTTTAAAAGGTTTTATAAAAGTTTAAAAAAACTTGTTCTCCAATGGATAACGCTATTCCTGCAACCGGCCCCTGATGTTTTGACACATCGCTGTAAAAATGCAATAAACCCATCGAACATTACTTTGCTGATTTCTATGATCTTTTCATGGATACTTGAGGAAAGCATATTTAATCCATAAACCATAGAAATCTATGGATGGTATTTTGCGGTTAGTTTTTATAGGGTAGGCTTACCAACCGTGTTGAGATGCTACTATATTGAATTTTTTACACAGAATTCTCTTGTGGGCATGTTCATATGTTTTATCAAACTATCGTTTGCTAATAATATGTAAGCTATGTTCAATTATTTTTAAGTTATTTTATTTTTAATTTTTCTTTTAGTAATTGCATTATTCTTTTAATAAAATATGATTTATACATAAAAAAATCTCCAATTCTGTTCATGTATATTTTTGTCATTTAATGAAATCGTCTCCAATTTTTTGTTTTTCTATAGATGACGTAGTGTTACTCACTTGTCATGTGCTTGAAGGCGATGAGAAAAATATAGAAATTTTATGGTTCAACAAGTCATTTCCAAAAGCTCACATGGATCGAGGAAGGCAACTTAATCTTACAAACCTCGTCAAGCTAACAGATCGTAAAAGTTTTTCAGAAGAGTATTGGTGCACTGCTAAAAACTCAGATGGTAAAAATCGAAGTCAGAACGTAAAAGTTGTCTTAGTGTCAAAAGGTACGCCCTTTTTTCTCTGTTTTACTGCAAATCAACCATTCTAAAAATGAAGAATATATACTACCTAGTATAACTGTAATTTTGCCCATGTATATTGCAGGTAGATATGCTAAAAGAAAGTGTCATTCTTTATGTCTTTGTTTAATTTTATTCCTGCATGCATAGTGCAATAGTAAAAGGCTCCTGTCGACTAGGTAAAACGTGTGAGCTTTAAAATATGAGAAGACCTATTTAAGACCTATATAAGGAGCCGTACAGTCTGTTTTTATTATGCATATTGTTCTCATTTACGGGTTCTTCCTAAAGCCTTGCTTCGTCAAAATAAAGTGTTTTACTAAACGGTGAATTTTACGTTAGATTTTAAAAGTTTGAGGATTTTCTTTCGCAAGGATACAAAAGATTATCAAAACTATGACAAACTACGACTTTATACGTTGTCTTTCCTTTATTGTTTCTTGATAAATCTTTTTGTACTTCTGGCAGTTTTCTGCAAAAGCTTGCATTTTACATTGAAAACATAGGTTTCACTGACTTCTGCTCAAATGAATCATCTGGTAGTTATGTTTGGAAGAAAACTCCAGTTGGATCAACTGTCGTTATTGACTGCGGCCAAAATCAGATAGGTTAGTTATTATTCTATGTTGATTGTTCTGCAAGATGGCCAGTAGCAGATCTAGAGTAAGTCAAATAACATCGAAAATGGTCTTTGTAAGCAGTCCTATTGCAAGTAATCCTATAGGGACACTTTTGAAATCAAATAATCTTCGTAACAAATTTTGACTTATAAAATTATTACTAATGTATTTTGGCATTTAAACGTTGCACTGTAGTATATATGTTCTGACTTTTGCCCAGATCTGCCAATCTTATAGAAAATAGTACAGTAAATATTAAATATATCGTACTTTTATTGGTATTGTTTTTGATTTTGATATCTTTAAGTCAAGTGTTTTCTTACTCAAAATAGGCCCAAAAGTCTTGGGTTGACAGAACACTTTGCTCACTCTCATATATATATATATATATATATAGGATATATATATATATATTCAAAACGTAAAATATATATATATATATATATAGAATATATATATATATACAAAAACGTAAGAAGAACATTTTAAATAAACGTTCCGATATGTTTAGTGCATGCCGTCATGTAACTTAACACCTTTTAGTCGATGTATATAGTCAGCAAATAAAATATTATCTGTCAGTTGCCTGAAGATCGCCCTACGGCGTGAAACTCCAGTAGCGACAGCAAACAATTGTCCATTTTATTTTATTTTAGTTCATTTTATCTTACGCTCTTCTAATATATAGAATATTGAGCGCTCTTTTATCCAGGAATATTATCCATAATAATATATATATATATATATATATATATATATATATATATATATATATAAGTTTGAAAATTTGTAATCCAGGCATTGAAAATCCGGAGAAACGTTTATCTTTTATATATATATATATATATATATATATATATATATACATACATATATAAGTTTGAAAATTTCTAATCCAGGCATTTAATACATTAAAGATAAAAGTTTCTCCGGATTTAAAGTGAGTTTTATTGAGCTTTCGACTCGTTGCTTCGAAAAATATTCATTCTGATGAAGGCTCGAAGCAACGAGTCGAAAGCTCAATAAAAAATCATTCAAAATCCGGAGAAACTTTTATCTTTTATATATTCAATGCCTGGATTACAAATTTTCAAACTTATAAAATCGACATATGGGATAGATATTCTCAGAAGAACAAGAAAATGGGAACTATTCGCACGTAAAGAGTCATCAACATTGGAGCAGCTTCACTTCCTACACAAATGCAAACAACAACGAATCCTACCGAACAGCATCAACTATCGACCACCATTAAAAACAACTCACGCTCAACAAATTGCACAATCAAATGGCCGCCGTATGTTAAACGTCCTCATATCAGATGCCCACAACCGCTTACGAATCTACCGTCATAAACTACAAGAACATCGAGAAACGGTAACAACATACACGACACAATCAGACGCCAAATCCATTAATGAAGCCATCAAAAAAGCAACATCCGCATATAGAACAAAACGACACCACGAACTTCATCGAAAATTACAAGAATCCAAATCTTACAAACAACTCCATCCCAACACAAACGAATTTGTCACAAACATCTCGAACAAACTACTAACCGAGCAGCAAACTAAAATTTTAAACAAAGGATTAAAATACAACTTTAAAGACGCGAACAAACTTGACTACGTAGCCGACCTGGAATCCGCTTTAAAGTACACCAACTTAACAGACCAAACGAAAGAAGACATTCGTCACAAAATCACAAATAACCTCTGCCACAAACCACCTGTCACCCTAAACTACGAAGAACTACGAGCAATTAAAAACCTACAAAACGACGACCAAATAATCATATTACGAGCTGACAAAGGACGCAAAACAGTTATCATGGACAGATCAGAATACATCGACAAAGCCAAAACCCTCCTACAAGACACCACCACCTACGAACTTCTCCGCACAGCCCAGCAAAACGACCACCAACCGCATCAACCAGAAACTGAAACAACTAAAAGACAAAAAGAAACTAAACGAAAACGACTACAGAAGAATCCGACCCAATGACGCATCCACCGCCAAATTCTACGGACTACCAAAAATCCACAAAGAAAATAACCCACTTCGACCTATCGTATCGCTTCCAGGATCACCTACGTATGAACTTTCAAAATATCTTTATAACATTCTGTATCCATTAGTCAAAAATTCACCTCACACCATCAGAAATGCCATCACTTTCCTCGCCAGTATTGAAAACATTAAACTACGAGCAGACGAAATCATGATATCCTACGACGTGACATCACTCTTCACATCCATACCACTAGACATTGCCAAACAAATTACAAACGAACTACTCACAAACGACAAAACTTGGCAAGCTACAACACAACTAGACAAAAATGACATCCTAGACTTACTCAACCTTTGCCTCTCCACTGAATTCACCTTCCAAAACACATACTACAAACAAATTTCAGGCACACCAATGGGATCACCACTATCCACCTTCCTCGCAGAAGCTGTCATGCAACACCTCGAAACACAATCAGTCACAAACAACACAAACATCAGACTATGGAAAAGATATGTCGACGACATCTTTGCCATAGTCAAGAAAGACAAAACTGAACAAATTCTACACACCATAAACAATACCACAAAGAACATTACCTTTACTAAAAACGAAGAGCACGACAAACAACTTACCTTCCTCGACATCCTACTAACCAGAACAGATGACGGTACATTAAACACACAAGTATACCGCAAAACCACCCACACAGACAAATACTCGATTTCAACAGCAATCATCCAACACCACACAAAATAAGCTGCATTCGAACACTTTTCAACAGGATAAACACTCATTGTAATACGGAAGAAGCCAAAAAAACAGAACGCAGCTACTTATACTCCACATTTATTAAAAACAACTACCCTAGAAACTTCATAAACAAAACTATATACAAAATACAAAACAAAACACAAACCGACAAAAGCAACAAAAAACCGGACGAAACAGTAAAAATCGTCACATTACCATACATAAACGGAACATCAGAAATGACTGCCAGACTTCTTCGACCATTTAATATTAACGTCGCCCACAAACCTACACAAAAACTCAAATCATGTTTCACCAAACATAAAGACAAAACAACAATTCATGATACAACTGACGCGATCTACATGATACCATGTAAAGACTGTTCAAAGCAATACATAGGACAAACATCTAAGAAAATTGAAACAAGACTCACAGAACACAAAAACGCCATAAAACGACGAGATCCGAACTCACTACCGGCAGAACATACCCACGGAAACAACCACACATTCGACTGGACAGAAACTAAAGTACTTGGACGCGCACAGACTAAACACGCACGCGAATTTAAAGAAGCTTGGTACAGTGAAGACAACGACACAATAAATAGACATATCGACATACCCATCATATACTCACAACTACAGAAAAGGACAAAAAAACTACAAACTACAAACTAAAACTACAAAAACTACAAACTAAAACACTACACTCTAATATTATTAACACCACCAATCATATTAACAATACACCAAAACCCATGGCAACGCATTTCACCCCATCCAATTACATTAATCCACCCTCTCATCCAGTTAGACGCTCTAAACGTCTCCAAGCTAAAAGCACGTGTAAATAAATATCCTCATTCTGATAAAGGCTCGAAGCAACGAGTCGAAAGCTCAATAAAAATCATTTAAAATCCGGAGAAACTTTTATCTTTTATGTATTCAATGCCTGGATTACAAATTTTCAAACTTATATATATATATATATATATATATATATATATATATATATATATATATATATATATATATAACTACGACTTTAAAAGAAAATCACTGCATGTATTGCCATGCTTTATTGAGCCACCAAAGAAGGCATATGAATTTTACGAGAAAAAAGAGCTAAAGCACTGAGATTGCAACTCAAGAACACACACTCAAAATGTATTTTGTCGAGCTACATACGAAAACATGTACACTTTGTATCAATGCTTAAATATGCCAAAGATTTTTTAAGTTGGTGCATGATGAAAAAGCAGAAACATCTATAAACATTAAATTTGCCTTTACTTAAGTGAATCAGCAACTCTTATAAAACGATTTTGCTATATATAGCTTTATGAAAGATGAAACGAAATTATGTATTTTTGTTTGAAGAGCACTGCATGTATTTAAGCAAAAAATTTGGTGTTCTGCTTTAAAAGATTACTGAACTTCTTTTTGGCGATGTAATATATACTGGTAACAGCGTCAAAATTTTTCGGATTTTTTTTTATTTTGATACAAAATTCAAGTTCTTGAAATCGTGAAAAACAATTACCAACGATTTGTTAATTTACAATTTTTTGCTACTGACTAAAAATTTATTTTGCAAATACACCAAGACATGCAAAGTGTTTATATCACATGTTGCTGCATAGTATTTTCCTATGCACATATAGTTTAGAACTTATGCGTATTTTTGGCTTAATATTTACACGGTGAAAAATTTGAAGAAAATCCATATGATTGTTTACACCAGCACAATGAACAAAATAGCAGTTCGTTGCTCTTTATGAAATGTTGATTTGCATAATGTAGTGTAAAATTTGTTCAACACCACAACCATTTGGAATGTGTTGTATTCTTTGCCACTAAAATGAAACTTTCTCGTGCACTTTCCTTTATGCTTAATATTTAGTATATCGTAAAATTTTAATGAAAACTAACAACACTGTAGAAAACATGTTGTACACAAAATTAATATATAGACTTTTTGTTTGTCATGCACCCTGCTTACCTAGCAAACACATATGTTGTTTTATATGAAAAGTTAACGAGCATGAAAGCATTTGCTTTACAAACAGAAGCATGCAGACATATTTACGATTTTATGAAAAAGATATATAATTTTAACCGTTAAAGGAAATATAAAGTTTAAGTTTGCATGTTACGCTGATACGACTTGGAAGAAACGACTATTTGTTTCATAGCTATATAGATGTCAAAAATCCTATTATAGCTATTTAGAAACTATTCAACGCATATTTGTAGTTGTTAATGCTTTCGGACATTGGTAATTTTTTTGATTTTCCTAAAATATTGCTTTTAACTGAAATATTTTCTTGTCTTAGAATAATTGGCAATGTCCTCTCTCTATTTCAGTTTTTCTTTGTTTAATTCGTAGGAATAGCTTCCAGGTCTTGCTCACTCGTCGCCGGAAACCCAAAATGGCGTCCTGTTGATATTTCGAAATGTAGATCAGAAGTAGTCGTAGATCTCGTGGATCAGGTGAATATTTCAATTTCCCTTGCAACTAGCTCAGTAAAATTAAACACAGTGAGTGTTATAGACTCACCATTTAATACCAGGTATCAAGGCTTGATGAAGGTTTCGCAAGTAACGTCAGTGAAATTATAAAAAAAACAGAAACTGTTACAGATGTTGGTAAATTATTGCAAAAGGACGTCGAGGATCTCGTGTCGATTTTAAAAATAACACAAAATAAGACAGCGACTCAAAGTGATCGCGAGAACTTCATTCGATCTTCCAGCAATATTGTTGGCCGTGGACAAAGAAATGTGTGGAAAAACATACCGGTGAGAGAAAAAAAATATTCAATTTTAATGCTTGATGAAAATATAGAACATTTTTCTATTATATCAATATGTAGCTTTGGATCTTTTAAATTGTGCTCATTGGAGCTCATTTGGAAATACCTCTTGACGATAGCAATTTTTTAGCTAAAAAGCAATTTGCGCTATGTTAGCTTTTTTCAATTGTGTTATTTTTCTTTGGATTCACATTGTTTGTGAATTACTACGACTATATTTCTTTGGATTCACCTTCCTTGAATTCACATTGTTTGGGATGTGTTAAAGTTCCTTAATTTTAAAGGATGTTTTCCAAATTTTTTAATAAGACATTCACAATACTAAATTTGCTCTGAATGCGTATGAAAAATCTAGAACTGCTTTTATTCGTGTAATATTAACAATAAGATGGCTAAGCTTATTGTGAGTAATGTTTTTAGTGAAACACCTTAATCATGTTTTTCATTTCTCAATGGTCTTCAGCTCAATGTTATTTGACCTCAATCACCTTAATTTTCGGTAAGTTTTATGCACGAGGAGATTAAATCATAGCGTTTTATTATTTGTTAGGAAAGAAACACTTTAGCAAGACAAATTATCAGCGGCGCCGATCTTAATGCTAAAAAATTTGTCGCCGAAAGTAAAAAAATTGGTAAAGTGGTTTCATTCAAGACTACTAACATTCAGGTAATTGGTATAAAACTCCCTGAAAAACCAAAAAATCGATCCAAAGAAATTAAACTGGTAGACACAGGCGGTCAGGGCGTTCGATTTCACACAAGTCTTGCGAACGGTCTACAACAAGCCACTGTTGTAAAGTACTCGTCAATTAAGGATATTTTATCTTCTGAAGAACTGAAAAAATCTGTAGATAAAACTATAAAGTCAAGTGGAAATTTAACCATCCAGAGTACGATCTTGTCTTTCACCACCACACCAAAACTTTATGTTACCCAAGCTATTCAAATTATCTTGAAAAATAATCAGGTACGAACGTAATCCGCCGATTTCAAGTTTCAAACCTATTCTCTGCTCCTCTTACAGTAGTATTTGTTTTTCTTTATTACAGAGTGGTTTTGATGACCCTAAAAGAGAATGTGTGTTTATTGAGCCGGATGTCAATGGTAGCAAATGGAGTGGTGAAGGATGTATGCTAAATGAAACAGAATCCTCAGAAGACAGCGTCATATGTGATTGTGATCACAATACAGCTTTTGCTATAATGATGGATACAGCTGGTGTTAAGGTATAAGTCTATACCTGTTACGTATTCGTAAACGCCAAGTACTTGCCACTTAATGTTAGTGTAGCTTTAGGCGAAATTAAGAAAACACATCATTTTTTCGGAGGATGAAACACAGATAAAGATCGATGTAAAGAAAAATCATTCATATGTGATAATTTAAATTGTTCTTTAGTAGCAATTACGTAAGCAATGTTTACGAAAAAACCTTTATTGCACAATGGTGTTTTTCTTCTCTCAACAACAATCCAAGCACAACTATAAATAAATCTGCTGTAAAAAGACGTAAAGACGTGCAATGAATTCTGCTTTTCTATTAAAGCATGTTAAACTTTTGATTCCCTTCATTATTTAATTCCCATTGCCGAATCGCAACTTTTAAATGATAGAAGTTAGAAAATGCTAAAAAACAGGGGTGGCGAAATAGCCAGAATTTATCTTTGTGAGAATGGCAAAAGATGAAACTTTACTTTATATATTATCATGTTTATAGCTAACTGAAACTGAACGAGAAATCTTGGAATATATATCAAATATTGGATGCTCTATATCGCTTTTTGGTGTAGTTTTAACATTGCTAACACACGTGTTGTTTTGGAAACATGTAAAATCGCCAAAATCAAAAGTTTTGCTGTGTCTTTGTATTGCTATTGGTTTTACCGACGTTTTTGCTATATTGGAAGGTGTTTCAAGATATAACCCGGTATGTATAAGATGAGGTAAAGAATCAGTAAATGATTTTTTCAATTTCATTTTTGAAGAAAAAAATCGTTAAATTGGATTTTAGCACCTTATTTTGGCAATAAAGCCTTTGTACGTGAGCAGAATTTTGCTTTTTGCAATAACCTTAACATGAAAACCGAAAACCGGCTTAGAATTTAATTCTCATCGAGAATTTAAATTTTGCTGCCTGTAAAGGAAAGGCTTTAACCCGACAAATAATTGAAGATACGTATTCTTTGAAAAATGTAATGTTTTTAGTTGCTGGATTTCATATATATTTAAACCTTTTTAAAGGAATTTTGCTCAGCTGTTGCTGCTCTTTTGCATTTCTTCCTCCTGTCTGTCTTTGGCTGGATGTTGTGTGAGGGGATTCTTCTATACATAATGCTTATACGAATTTTTGATGGCGTTCGTGGAAAACATTGGAAAATCTTCAATCTTATTGGCTGGGGTATGGACTATATTTTGTGTTTAACTTGCTACAAATAACGGTAACCTGCAACAAATAAGCCTGTTCCTTCCTTAGGTGTTCCATTGATTATAGTTTCCATATCACTTGGCGCTACTCGAGGCAAAGGATACGGTTCAGATAATTCTTGTTGGTTGAGTGTTGAGAGTAAACTAATCTTAGCATTTATTGTTCCTGCATCCCTAGTCATTACGGTAAGGGTGCAATGGTTTTATTTAATGTATTTATAACGCTGATATTTTTCCAAAAAGTGAGTACAATTATAGGCCGAGGTAAGTTTTAAAAATTGGAATCATTTATGGAGAATCGACATTTTCTTGCTATATTCATCTCCTGCACACAAAGTATTTTTGCTTTCCTAAGAATTTAAATCGATAATAACCCAACAAAATTATATTCTTTGAAGCGTTTGATTTTCACATAGGCGAATACAGTAGTGCTTTTCATGGTAATCTATAAAGTGTTAAACAGTCACAAAGTAAGACAACAAGAGAATCTACAGAAAGTAAAGACGGGTTTAAAAGCTACCATCGTAGTTCTACCTCTTCTTGGTTTAACGTGGTTGTTCGGTTTGATGACATTCAATCGAGAGACAATAGTCTTCCGCTATCTTTTTGCCATCTTCAATTCCGCTCAAGGAATATTTATATTCCTTTTTCATTGTGTCCTAAATAAACAGGTTAGACTAATATACACAAAGGAACATTTTAAGATAAGCAAGAAGTATTGAGGTGATAGTAACAAATGGTAATTTCTTTCAGATGCGAGATGTTGTTCGACAAAATACTCAAAGCACTTTCTTTTCAAGCCTTGGAATGAAAAAATCATCCCACTCGCAAAATGGTGCGTTTAAAAACGTCTTAGACTAGCAGTTCAAACTTCTATCATAAGTCTGGCCACTAAAGGTGTGTATTTTCTTCCCAGTTTCTTCTAGTTCTGCAAGATCCATGAGTTTGAATGCAAGGCATGAAAAGACAAAAAGTACAGAAAGATCACATTTGGAGGAAAGCTCAGTACATTCCAATGAGATAACCCATCTTTTGCACGGTAGGTGTGATGTATAGAGTGTTTGCATGTGACGTCAAAGTAGCCATGTTGGGGGAGTTCATGAAAGTGCCGATGCTCAACGAAGTATGAAATTAACATAAATTCTTTTCTCTATATGCAATTTCCCCCAAGATGGCCCTGATAAAAACACTTTATACCATATGTTTTTAGTATCTAACTGCTCTAATATAGAACATGCTTTATAAAACTTTGCAAATTAACAAACATGGCAAAACGTTCATTGTTGAACAATCGTTTCAAAACATACTCAAAAACTTATATACTGCAGTTTGGCATTTGGTGATATAAAGTGACAAGGAGGGATCGTTGTGCGAATGGGCGGTGCATTATTGAAGCTTGTTTGTTGTAGACGAGCATGATATTGGTTTAACAGAGCATGTATGAAAATACAATTTTTCTTTTTACAATTTTTTAACAGACAACACCGATGCATTTCAATCGTCTACACAAAGTGGAATTCCTAAAAATAACGATCATGGGATGTTAAAGCTCGATGGGAAAATAGTAACAAATGACGAATCACCAAATTTATTATGTTTGGAAAATATTGATGAGAAAGCTTCTTCAGTAGTGTAACAACATATCAAACATACAGTACTCTGATCAACTAAAGATAAACTTGCCTAATTGCCACTAATTTCACATAATATTGACTAAGTTTAATAAAAAAAATTAAAGCTACTTATGTAGTTTCAATGCATGCAGTTTTAACTACAACGATAATTTTCTTTTAAGCATCAATAAAAATAAGTATAGCTACGTATATTCATATCTAATTGTAATTATATCTTGTTTAAAGAATGAAATTTAAATCTAGAGACATTAGCTGTTGAATTGTTTGTGCAATAAAACCATAAGAAGAATGAATAAAGAATGAAAAGTCGACTACCTTTAGTTGTCAACTTTGAAAAGTTGTCAAAAATCACATACCTAGTCTGCGGAGGTCCTGAGAAATTCAAAAACTAAGCTGAGCATAAAGATTTTTTGTTCATATGCTCTTCAGGCGGTGGACCAATGTGCTCAAAAACACAATTTTCGCTGCACACCTCTTACAAATAATAATTTATTTACGTTTTATTCACGATGACGTCATCAATAGTTATCAAAACCAAAAAATTTGCAAATATAAAATATTCTCAGTACCACTAGATAGACCAGCATGACATGAATAAAACAGTATATTACACCATCTATTTTCAGTTACTTGTTTTTCACTATGATGCTGACTCAGCATTTTAGGTCTCGTTCGATATCACAGGCAGAGATGCCAACTTATAAATTTTTGCTGTAACATTACTGCAACATCATCTCATAGTATCTATCTTATGGTACTGAGAATTTTTTAAATTGGCAAGTTTTATGGTTTTGATAACGATTGACGATGTCGTCGTGAATAAAACGTAAATTCCTGTTCATTGTGCAGACTTATCGCTTGGGGCCACATTCATTACTCTCTTTTGCATAATTCTCTACAACACCATGAAAGAAATTATTAGTTGGGTTAGGTGTGCAGCGAAAATATGTTTTTGAGCACATTTTTCTGTCTGATCCATTTGCCTATTATTACTTGTAGTTATACACAAGGCACATATTAACTTAGAAGCTTAAACAACAGCAAATCCTAGCAAATAGGAGATCATATTAGTAAGTTAGTTTTTGGGGTTGTTAGTCAAATACAAAGCAAAAGTTGAATTCATGAAAGGCTGATACTGCATATCGAGTTCAATTGTGTAAGACTTATAATAGAGAGACTTGCCAGGCGGGAAACGAATTCGTGTTAAAAAAACAATTGCCCAACATAAAATTCAAAATAAAGCCAATTTCTTAAAGAAATTATTTATTACTGATTGTAACATTTAGTCTTTACACAAGACATCATCAGTCAGGTAGTTAAAATGATCAAGAGTGCATTTATATTTACATATTAGAAGTGTAGTTATGAGTGTTAGATTACAGTGAGAACACTCATAACTTACACTTCTAATATGTAAATATAAACACACACTTGATCATTTTAACTACCAGTCTGATGATGTCTTGTGTAAAGACGAAACGTTACAATCAATAATAAATAATTTTTTAAAAAAATGGCTTTATTTCAAATTTTATATGTAAGACTAGTTTATATATTACATATTCACTAACACAGTACCAGAAATTGAATCCAACCATGTAATTTATATGAATGCTAGTTAAATACAAAAATGATGTTATTGGTTACAAGATAATCAAATTGCTTGAAAAATTTTAGATACAACAGTTGAACAATAAACACACCTATGAAAATTAAGATATACATCCTGATGATCATATGGAATGCTAAACAGGTTATGAAACTATCATTTACTTTTCAAAGTTACTCCTCGGTTTTCTACAAAAAATGGAATGAAGTACTTAAAACATCAAACTTAAACCACAGAAAAAACTAACACAACAAAACTATTATTTACCTGCTCTTGTATATCATTCTCCCTTAAAAATTTTTCCAATTTTGCATTCAATTGTCCAAGATTTTCTTTCAATACAATGCTATTGCTTTTAAGCTCTTTGATTTTCTAAAAAAGTTTATTTAAGTCATGTTAAAGAAAAGCGGTCTAAATTAAAACATAGAAAATGACATACCTGTGGCATTTCTTCATTAAATATAGCCTTCAACTTTGAAATAGTCTTTTCTGTATGGTCATCGTCATCATTTTGATCATCATTCTGATCAGCAGCATCTTTCAAGTAAAAAATTCAAAATTAAAATTTGATGTATCATGGCATCATGCCAATGTGTTTTACAAAACATCTTCTAAATGAGCTCATTCAGTGCAAATACCAGAATTTTTTTGTAATGATATCTGGCCATTTGAATCCTCCATAATTAATTTATCTAGAGCGTTACCATTATCCTTATCATCCAACATGTCACCATCTTTACTATCTTGCTTTTCATTGTTCTCAACTTCTACTTCATCTGAGTTGCTTCGTCCCATAGTTTCATCCTCTTTATCTACATTGACATGGTCATATTCTTTCTTGCCATTGTCGTCAGAGTCATCATCATCATTATCATTTTCATTTTCATCACCAGCATCTGAGTTCTCATCATTCTCATGGCTATTTGCATCTTTATCTTTGTTACCATCATTTTGATTAAGGTCTGAGTCTTCGTTTTCATCATCATTGTTGTCCTTGGCATCCGTATCTTCATCATCTTTATTTTCATTGAAATTAGGGTCAACTTGATTATCGTCTTGCTCATCCTGATCATTTCCTTGAGCACCTTCATCAAGTTCTTCATTTACCGGAGCAGACCTATATTCACTTTCTCCTATAAAGTAGTGTGTACAACTTTCATATTGTATTGCCCCTTTTGAGCTGATAAGATTTATATAATACTTATATTAAGTGTAGTATCATGCTAATTCACATCGTTGTTGCACTGTAAGGCAACATCTTCTCTACTCTTATTCAGCATGGCTTCATACTTGTGACAACTTTCAAAAAGTTACTTACACAGTATTTAAAAAAATATATATCAACATTTAATCGCGAAAAACATTTCACAAATGTAAATGTTAAATTGACATGTCATCCACGTCAGCAAGTCAAAACGTGATCAAATTATGACCAAAAAGCATCATTGAACAATGAAAATGTTAACATACCTTCTTCATCTGAAAATGGGGCTGAATTAGAAGGACTGAAAGCTAACAGCAAGCAAAACACCATCAAAATCCTTGCCATACTTCGAAAGATATGCTACGCGATGCAATTTGTTATTGTATTCAGAGCAGGCTACTCGCCATGCATTATTAATTGCATTTTAAAATTATTCGCCCCTATCCGGTTGCGAACACGTCACTCAAAAGTCTGAAGGCATACGATTATCGTCAAATAATTTCAACTTTCACTTAGTCGTCGATAAAAATATTATGAAAATTTACCCAATTGAAGACAGAAGGCTCTAAAATCGTAAAATGTCATTACATTTTTGGTTTGAATTTTTTTTCTTTAAAATAAGTTTGCTATTGTGCTGTATGACAAACAACAGATGTATGGCTACTTTTTTGTGGAAATAGTTTATAAACTGGTGTATCAAATATCGTCACGATCACGCTACCGAATAATGAAGTACAGCTCACAGTGGGGGATCTAGGGTACGTCAAAATATATAGCTGTTTGTTCATTTTTGGATGTATTTACTTTTAAAAATTCATTAAAGGCAACTTAATTGGAGAGTTTTTTTAGAAATAACCAGCATTTTTGTGTTAAAAGTGTTTCGAATTTAGAATTGAGCACTTATTATTTATTTTGCCTAAAATACCAGATCTGTTACTGATTAGCATGACAAAAGTGAGCTTACTCATGTATTTGTTTAATCTCAATCATACCTGAATATGAACATAACAAAACTCTCAATTCTAAATTGATGCTTAATAGTTTCCAAAGTGCTAACTCTCAAACTTACACAATTTATGAGTTGTATATGAAGTTGGACAGGATCTGCAAATATTCATCACTTGTAACTGTGTTTGTATTAATGTATAACATGATTTTGTATTAAATCTTCTCAAACCCAAGCTTGCCATGGTCTTGCTGCTGATTGACTGAGAGCTATTATAAATAAGTGGACATAAACTCATAGCTAGGGGTCTTTCATTTAGTACTTATGCAAAAAGGGAAGATGCTATATACGTTTGCATGCAATAAGGAGGGGGCAAGGAAGCTGTTTCATTCAAATGACATTTCAGAACAAAATTTTTCTTCCGTGAGTAATCATAGTTATACATTGGTAAGAAAATCAATAATTTTACCTACATTGGCTAAGATAACAGTAACTATAACCATCAAATAAACATTGGTTTTAACTGACAAAGTTGACTTTTGTTCGAGATTAAAAACAGCAATTGTTATTGTGTATATCTTGTGCATATACTAAATTTAAGATCTTGCCTATACATTTCATTTTGTGGCTCTGACTGTACATTATGAACAAGTATGGTGTTCACAAACAATAATTTTTCTTATTTAACTTTGAACTTTTTGACTGTACACACTTAAGATTGTAATTTGCATTAATATGTACTTATCTAAAAGCAAAAATGTCTGTAGTGATACATCTGCATACTCTGAAACTCTCAGAAATCCAAAATGAACTCATAAAATGATGAGACAATTACAAATTATCCTATATAAAGATAATATTTTTTAATCAAATATATTTAAAATTTTCACTAAAAATATTAATAAAAAGTATTGGAAATATTTTTAAAATTAATTATTGTACTAAGACATTAAGATATTTTCATTATTCTTTCAACTTTATAATGCAATATATGACAAACATCAGATCTTTAGTCACATCAAGCATAACCAAGATTTGCAAGTGAGGGCTAAGAAAGAAAATGTGGAGTACTAACACCAGATCTTTAGTCACATCAAGCATAACCAAGATTTGCAAGTGAGGGCTGAGAAAGAAAATGTGGAGTTACAAAAGCACTAATACTAGCAAATATCTTCATGGAGAAATTAAGATTCGGCTTTAGGCATCAAAATTAATGAAGCAACAAACAGAAAGGCAAAATTATATTGTTGTATTTGAGCTGCACAACAACAAATTGAAATGAACAGACATAGCTAAGGTACATTATCAGGAAGTGAGTAGTAGAAAGTAAAATTGGGATTGAGCTAACATTTTGGGGGCAGTTTTTCAGTTATAAAAAGGGCACTTTAGGGCAATTTACTTTTGGTGAAAAAACATTGCAGTTCTTATCATTGAAACCTGGATTTAAAGAGCTACACATTTTAAGCATTTTTGTAATAACACAATTGTCCATTGAAATCTAGAAAAAGTTTAAATTGTGTGCTTTGTGCTTAATATTTTGTTTAAGGCTTAATATTATGTGCTAAATATTATGTTTATGTTTAATATTATGTGGAAAAGTTTAAATAATGGGCTTAAATTATGTTCTTTGTGCTTAATGACCCAATAGCTATCCAACCTTTCTAAATTCCCGCACTTGCTGCGATTTTATACCACGTGACTGTGATCACATCTGGGAAAGGGAAGTCTTCGAGATTCCTGACAAATTTTTACCGGCTAGTTTATTGTCAATATAGTATCTATAGCAAAAAATATTTTTGAGACCGTTGAGAAATGTAAGCGACCTTTTTTTGGCGAAAACTATTTGACTATTTGATGAAGCAAATAACTAGCCAAAAGACTTTGTCTTTGATAAACAGCAGCTGCCATTTCTAAATGTTTCGCGAAAAAATTGATTAAACAGTCTCTTGGCAGCGCTAGTACAAATATATGAGAATTTTATAGCTTGAGTCGTCCCAGCCGTTTTGAAAAACAACGGAACGACTCGGATGACTCAAGCGACTTAATGAGGACCAGGCTTTAATTAATTTGTGCGCGAAACAATTAAAAAATGGCAGTAGCTGTTTATTAAAGACAAAGTCTTTTAGTTAATTATTTGCTTCTTCAAATCGTTTTGTGCCATAAAAAGGTCGCTTGCATTTCTCAACGGTCGTTTCGGTCGTCCGGATAGAGCAAAGTTCTAACCAAGCGACCCTGGTCGTTTCAGTCGTGTGAGTCATTTGAGGTGATCCTGGTCGCCTTTGAAATGTTCTCATACAGTCGCACGGGTCGTCTGTGAAATTTTGGTACGACTGGAACGACATGGACGACTATACGAGAACCAGGCTTTAGAGACAACAATGACCTGTTGTAAATAATTCGAATGTTGTAAATAATAAAATCATTGCTATTAGGAGAAGGAAAGGTTATTGATTTGCTATAATTTGTGTAAAAGATGACACTGCGGGGTACAAAATGCTTCTTAGCAACACGCATCTGCTAAACAAGAAAAATATTTCTCATTGAAATCTTTATGTAAATGTGTCCCATCTATATTCTTGCCTATTTTTAAACCTAAATGTGATAAAAATGATTAATGGAGCAATTATCTAATATAATTTTTTAAGCGAGTAATGCCAAATATTTATACGTATGACAAAAATGTAGGTAAGCACTTTGACAGTTAAAGGTGTCAACAGTAAATATGAAATAAGAAATATTTGTGAGTAACTTTTAATGTAGCGATAATATGGATGGGAACATTTACATAAAGATTTCAATGAGAAATATTTTTCTTGTTTAGCATAGATGCGTGTTGCTAAGAAGCATTTTGTACCCCGCAGTGTCATCTTTTACACAAATTATAGCAAATCAATAACCTTTCCTTCTCCTAATAGCAATGATTTTATTATTTACAACATTCGAATGTGATTTAAATAAGAACGAAGTTCATTTGCGTTTTACGCAATTCACATACGTGCAGAAGTTTCAAAAGCATTTGTGTAAGAACATCACTATGGCAATTGAGCACTTTCGACAAAAATACTCATTATGCATTATTAACCATTTTAGGAGTACAATATCATAATAACAAATGTCATCGAAACAAGTTGTACACTAAAGCCTAGTTTTCACTAGCGACATAAGCATAACGACAAAGACAAAAGAAAATACAAAAGAAGGCAATGAAGCGACAGACGCAAGCATCAGCATAAGCTTGAGGATAAACGCAGCAGCTAGACATAAGCCTAAGATAAAAATAAACGAATTGAAAGGAAAATCCCATTTATTTCTTTCGACCTCTAGAGAATATGCTTTACATTGTTTTATCGCTTGTGTTTGTGTTTCAAGCGAAAAGTAAGCCTTACAAACAACATTGTTTCACCATTGATCAGAATATTTCCGCTATTTAATTTATGAAAGATATATTTTGGCTTTTGCCCAATAATAACAGTTTATAAGCATGATGGAACATCAACCCTATGTTGACCCTTGTAGCTCTAATATTTTATAATTTTTACGGTGTGTCATGCACGGACATAGAAATATATTAAATGTTTGAAATATTTAAATAATAGTTGTTTATATCAGCATTTATTTGAATTTCCTAATTGTCAACCAAACATGCGAAAATCAAGCGTGAGTTAAGAAAAGCGAACAAAACACGCGCCAAAGAGTTTTCCTCGGGTAAAATTCCCAAGGTGTGATCAAGCCATCTATATACACTTGAAATCATGTGTAGAAAATTGCTTTATACAATAACAACACAAAGGCAGTGTCGTAACTAAGGCCCGGTTCAAACGTCGCATTTTACATGCGCCGAATCAAATCTGAGTTTTAGTCGACTAAAATAGTTTTATGCGTAGTTTGATTCAGACGTCGAATTTAATAGTCGCATTTATTATAGTTATGCTTCCACTTTTTCATAGTTTATTCATTTTCTTGTACTAATTTCCTAAAATGGCGAACAGAAAAATGTTGAGTTTATGCATTTCAAATATGATTCGTGTTAATAGGAAAAGACGAATATTGATGCATGTTACAGCAAATAAACTATTAGAAACGAGACGGCAGCTTCTGCAAATTTCCCATGTTTTTCTACCGTTAATTGGTAAAAAAAAAGCCTTCATACGTAGCCCTCCTTATCGATCATGTCGAAGACAAGATAGAAATTCCGGCTGGTGGAAGAAAGTTTGGAGTATTTATTCTGATTCAAAAAAACATTTCGTGTATCTCGAGGAAACTTTCCTTGTACATATAAATTTTTTGCACTTTAAACAAGTGTATTTTGTTAAACTTGTGCACGAAATACAAGGGCCATTACCATCACTCGCCGCCGCCATGTTTTACAACTTTGCGCATGGCATTTAGCATGGAAATAATTGATTTTTGCTTAGAAATATCTTAAAATAAATTATGCATTAAATTCGGCTCATGTAAAATGCGACGTTTGAATCAACATCGAATTTCCGTCGAATATTCGACTAACTCAGTCGAATATGCGACTAAAGTCGCATTAAATTAAAATCCGTCGAATTTAATTGATTCAAACGTCGCATTTTACATGCACATAATTCTCGCATTTGATTCGGCGCATGTAAAATGCGACGTTTGAACCGGGCCTAATATTAACTCATGTTTGGATGGCCTCATCCATTCATGAACGTTGACCAATCAGAGATGGCGTTTATCATATGTTATTTTATAATCCATATCCTGTCCAAAGTAAAAGTATTCACACGCATGCATGCATGTAAACAGATGGGACTCGTCACTTATTTCAAGACGACATCAATATGAAGTATAATTCGAACAATATACTAAATGTTTTACTGCTGGCTTTTATTGCTCTGAATTCGGCGTACGCCATCTCTTGTAATGGCCTGGCAAGATACACTTTGACATTTCAAGGAGAATGGACAAGCGCAAGGCATCCTAACTTTCCTCCAGGTCCTCATTTCTCTGCTGTCGTTGGCTGTAGCCATAAGCCATCATATGTTATGTGGAAAGCTAGGATTAAAGCCACAAGAGGAGTTAAGGATGTTGCTGAACTTGGTATGTTTTAAATTAGTAAGAGTTCATAAGTATCTATTTGAAATTGTTTTGTAATGTAGACATCAAGTCTATTATGTCAAATTGTCAACTTTTGGAAAAATTATTAATGAATTCCAAAGGTTGTTTGTGTTTGAAAAGTTGCTACGACTAAATTGTGGCTATTATCGGCTAAATCGTTAGTTAGTATAATTTTCAAACTTTGTTCAATAGCATGGCAAGTAAAACTGAAGTAAAATTTCTGTCAAGTAAAAATAAAAATAAATGACGATAATGAAATACAACTATTTGAAATATTCATATATGAACTCAAGATTTCATAACAAGTTGTGAAATGTGCATTCACTTCCACTTTTACCAGACACGCGTTTCACAATTATTGCTATTCATATCAAACGCAATTCTACGTGGTTATAAGTTATTATTACAATATAAAATACACAAGAAAGTTTATCTATAACACCAAAGTTTTCATGACGACACCGTTGTGTTTTGTCGTTTAAACGGAAGAAAACTTGGCACCTTTAGCAAAGTGTACTGCGCCTAATTCGTACATAAAAAAAACTTAAAAACATAAAAACACGTTAGCAAAGCGATAATAAAAGAACACAAAACACACAAGAAAAAGAGTTGAAACAGCCCAAAACTAAAGGATTTGTGTCGTTAAATGCAGCTGAATAAAAAACTGAATGAATTCAATTCTTGGTGATGAACTTTTACAGCTGCAGTAAGAAAACTGCAAACCTCAAAGGAAACCTGAAAACGTTTACGAAGCAATGCTCGTACACTAAAATATTTGCATAGCGGGAGTAAAAGGCCTGGCTGGCTACGTTATTGGATGTATTGGGAACCAATATTTATATCTACATGTTATAACTTGCAGAAGACAATCGATTTCGAAAAAAATTAAACACGGGAAAACATGAATATATGAATATTGTCACCCCCACCCCTCCCGGGCCAATTATCGAGCTGGCTACACCACTGATATTTGTGTCTACCTATTTCTCACAAAATGAATGCGAATGTGACTTTCGTGATTTGAAAGTTTTGAAACCATTGCTGGTCATTTAACGATACAACCGCTAAGTCAAACCAAATTGCAGTTCGTTGATAATCTTACATGACTTGACCCTGGCAACATGAATAAACATTAGCTTTCACAAGTACCGCTACCTTGTGGGCACGGTGCCAGGCTACAAGCCTTAAAATTTATTCCCCAAGATTAATTGCGTGTCAACGAGCAATTTCTAAATTCGCCAGCGGGCACGGGTGCCCAGTTTAAGAGGTGGCGCATCCAAAATTACGATGACCCAGAAGGCTGACAGTGCTATTATATTTTCTTACACTCCAGTAACTCGTTTTTACAGTCCTGTAACGCTTTTTAGCTGTCCAGTAAAGTTTTTTGACACAGTCCTGTAAAATTTCAACCCAGTCCAGTAAAGTTTTTTAATAAAGTCCGGTAAAAATTTTTCAAACAGTCCAGTAAAATTTTTTTCAATCTTTTTTATATGGTCTGGCTCCCTTTTTTAAATATAAATAGGCATTGAAAGACGTTGATGAATTCGAATGTACATTTCAAAATTAACAATAAATATACCACTGAAAAACTATACCCCCTGTATGAACATAGAGAATCGTTATGAAGAAAAAGATCTCATCAAATCATATTTCAACTAAGGATGCACAAATCTTGGAATAATAGAATACTTACGACTTCATGACATTACGATTAGTTTGTCAACGCTAAGCGGAGATTGGTGTCTTTGCACATTCGCAGGCGACCGCACAAAGGACAAGAGAATAGATATGTAATCACGACTGTGATCGAAGAAGAATTATCTGGAAGCGGGTGTTTTAAAAGCTATTAAAAAATTTTACTGGAATGTGTGTAAAAAAATTTTACTTGACTGGGTTGAAATTTTACAGGACTGTGTCAAAAAACTTTACTGGACTGTTAAAAAGTGTTACAGGACTGTAAAAACGCGTTACAGGAGTGTAAGAAAATATAATAGCACTGTGAGCCTTCTGGAAAGAAATTTAAGAAATGGCTTTTTCGTTAATATTTTCAATGAGAGTTTTTTACGATTCCTCGTGATTAAAAATAGAAAATACTGGAAAATGACTTAGGATAATTCATTTTGCACGAGAAGCATTTTTGCTTTTGAGCTCCGCGATACAACACTAGTTCTTGACTTATAATCAAAATCCTTATGCACTTATGCAATAGACAAATATTGGTCAAGAGTGTCTAATTTAAACTTGTTTTTATAGGAAGTACATCTGCCATATACAGGGAAATGGGCGGTCAGATATCATCAAAAAATGCTCATAAAAGAAATCAAGGTCGAGTAATATGGGGAGGAACAGCGTCAGACAGGATTACCAATATTGAAGTTACTTCAGAATATCCCCTTGTATCCTTCATAACCATGATAGCACCCTCACCTGATTGGTTCATAGGTGTTCACGATTACAGCTTATGCAATACTACCACGGGGAAATGGATGAATGAAACGTCGAAAGATTTGTTTCCATATGACGCTGGCACTGATAGTGGACAATTTTTTACAAGTTCAAACTCTATTACAAATCCACCTGGGAACATTCATCTTCTTACAAATGATATTGATGGATCTCTCAAAAGCAACCAACCCGTGAAAAGCTTTGGAAAATTTACCTTTGTGAAGACATTGGAGGATTTGAATGGCAATAAAGGATATACCCCTAGATTAACTCTTCTTCTTCAACTGAGTGCTTTTCTTTGCTTAAATATCTTGGTTTAAATCGTTTTAATACTCACTCTCTCCCTTTTTTGGCATCATAATTTTTCAAAATATATTTGTATGTACTTTTTATAGCAAGAGTCGATCAAACGACTATTAAGCGTTGAACTATCTATATTATCATTTTGTCAAACATAATCACACAAAATAATAACAAAGTACACCAAGGTCAAGATATTTGTGTTTAATGACGTACTAAAGGTAAAGAATAGTAATAAAAGTACAATTCTTGTCGTGGTGACGAATCTAAGAATTGTTTTGAAAATTGCAATTGAATTTCAGGGTTTCATTTAGCAGTCGTCGACTGCTGAGGACTAGTCTGCCGAAATGCATTGTGTCGTTTACAATGGCGTAACGGTGGGGTCTGGTAGCAAGTGACGGGGGGAGGGGACTTGGAGAAGAATTACCATATAAATTTTCCTGAAAAATCAATTTTAATACTATTAGGATACATTTCTGCAATTATATGAATGAAATGTAATTGTTATTTTTTTGGTGTGGAACCTTTAGAAGTGTGCTCCCAACAAATTAACATGCAGGGTATATTGATGCATGAAAAATGTTGCGTACGCTGTGAGTTGAAACCGAAAATAAATTGCGCATCTGCTCTGTTGACTTAGTATTCATCAAATTTCATGAAATTTCTATTCTTTGTTATAAAGGACCACTGAAATTTCATTTGTTTTTGAACATATCATTCATGCTTTCACAAGCTATTTAAATTGCAGTTTATGCTTCTTTTCCATTGTTTGTAGAGTTTTCTGTTTGTTTTTAGTTTCAAATCGTGGTTTGGTTGCTAAAGTACCTATTCTAACATAACGAACTTTGTTTACATTTGACAGTAAAATTACGCGTTTTGAACCATGGTCGATGACGTGAAATTAATGGCCGGCAAATATGTTTCTGAGCCAATCAAAGCGCGCCATTTTGCCGGAAGTTACGCTTGCCATGTAATAATAAAAGATATACATATACAGTATGTTATATCATACAATTGTACTCTTTATGTATATGTATGTTTTTTTATCTTTGTATTAAATTTTTTAATACATTTACGCCATAGTGAAAATCAGCGTTAGTTGAGTAAAATTATCTAATTGTATATCGTGCACCCACATATTTTCCTCCTTGGATTTTATAAACTTTATATCTACACATAAGGTAATATAATAAACTAACCATTGTGTCAAGAAGATTGTTTTCCTTGTCTTATAATGTCATTCTTTTAGAGCTTAATTTTGTACAAATCTTTCATAAAAATATTACCCTCTTGCGAGCAATGCAACTATTTTATCTAAGCTCTTTATATTTTGTGACGGGTGCTTTTGAAAGGCTTTCTTTATTCTCTTTTATCTGAAGAGGTGTATTCTTTGAAATTTATTAATGTTATTCTCTTTCCAAGTCTATGGCACGACTAGAATCAGATTATTATTGCATTAGATTAAAATGTTAAGACTAAGTTCCAGCGCTTTTGGTGACAATTCTTGTAACATAGAAGCCACAATTGTTATATAGCTAACAAAACAAAAGACATTATAAAATTGGGTCGATTTATAAATCAATTTTGTCTTTAAGTACAAACAATAGCGTAAAAAAGGAAATATCTCTGATTTGGTATTTGTAGTAGTTTCAAATGACATCTGTCCAATAAGGATTCGACAATGCAAAAATCTTGATGAAACTTTCAGCAAACTAAATTACAAGAGAAAGCTTCTTGTCTTCAATTGCTTCACTAATTTTAATATTTTTAAGGTATTTTCAAACTAAGCTCATTTAGTACTTGTAAGTTCTTATCTGGGTTATTTGTTGTTAGATACCTGCAATTAGTGCATACTTTTATCTGGATTTGCAAAACTTGATTCAATAATATTACACTATCCTTTTGTTCACAAGTTCCTACTAGCCGTTATATTCTATCATTGGGACGGAAGTTGTATTTTTTACTTCAAAAATGTTATTTTCAACATAGTTGAAAGAAATGAAAGAGGCTTACATTGTAACAAAGAATCGATAATGCTGCTGAAACGACAAAAATTTAAGTGCTCTGTCGGATGTGTCCTTTCTTTTAAAGCATTATTAAAATTTATAAAGCAGAACATCCACGTCATCATACATTATAAGAAAATTGTGCACAAAACAGATGCGTAGAGTAAATCTTGTGACGGTCATAGACGCTCAACTCGAGTTTCTCAACAGCTTCTTTAAACAAACGTTTTAGTCAATTTGTTGGTAGATAAGAGAAAGACAAATTACAATTAATCAAAGTAAAAACGACAAAAGTATATGCATACATACTCGTAGTTATGAGAAATTTGAAGAGTATGCCATTTGTATTACTCTTGGCCATCATCAACCTAAATTGTGCGAAAGCCATTTCTTGTAATGGTGAGGCAAGATACACTTTGACATTTCAAGGAGAATGGACAAGCGCAAGGCATCCTGACTTTCCTCCATTTCCTCATTTCTCTGCTGTCGTTGGCTGTAGCCATAAGACATCATATGTTATGTGGAAAGCTGGGATTAAAGCCACAAGAGGAGTTAAGAATGTTGCTGAACTTGGTATGTTTTCGATAAGTTTACATTAATAAATATTTGTGTCTGTAAAAATATGTCTGTAAGAGGATGCATACCCAGTATTAGTAAAAATAAATTGTCCATGACATAAAAAGATCTGGCCGGAGAAAGAAAAAGAAGAAAACGTTTGCCAAGCTTCGGTCGGTTTGGTCGTCATTTTTTCAATAACAACTTAGCTATTAGTACAATTGGAAAATGACGCATGTCGTTACTGGCACCACTGATTAGACAAGTGGCCGATAACTCTCACTCTCATCGTTAATTTTAGAGAAAATTTTCGTTCTGACGTTTGGCTTGGTATAGAGCTTAAGCTCGCGTTGCTTTTATTTCTTTAATTACAGGTGTTTTGCTATTAAGCCGGCTTATCAACTTTGCAATTTCATCATGGTATAAATGATATAACAAAAACATTAAAGTAACCCCAAAATAGCTTATAACTTTAACTCGAATGCATCTAATTTATATACTGTTAGAACGTTTCCGTAGAAATTAAAACATTAGCTTGTTTTCTATCGGGTAGCGATAGGGGAGTATCATATAATATTATCATCTAGCTAATGACTGAGAATGAGGGAACAGTGCCAAAGTAACATAAGTGACTTAAGCAGTTTTAAGCATTTTTGCGAACGGTATAAGCACTGATATGTATATTTGACTGGATAACGCATCTCTTGCGAAAATTGAAGCCGGAAGATCGATCATTTGCTTCTGGCTTCATGGGGGGTATCGGTCCCACTTTACTGTACTTTTGTATTACAAAATCACAGTTTTTGCGTTTTTATTCCTTTTACAAACTTCTGATTAAGGCGAAATATTTATGACGTGTAGAGAAAAACCGGTAGAGAGTTTCAACCCCAAAGGTCTGTTTTTTTGGCTTTGTAACGACTGAAAAATAAGATGGCAACTTCTATTGAAATTTGAAAATTGAAGGTGACAAGGACAATTTTTGCCGTGCGAGGCATTTTTAGAAGATGAATACGAAATTACAAATTTACAACAAAGTAAGAACAAAGGTATTCATATCTTCAACATATTCATTGATATTGAAGTTGTTCACATAGTAACACGTTGAACACTTTGCTTCGCTTAATGACAACAGAGGTAAGTTAATTGGCATATTTTGATGATGTACATCTCGTAGAGTTTAATGATACCGTTATTAACTTACTATTGCTCATCAAAATGTCTTTCTGATTATTTTTCTATATCGATTTGTTTTGTTTCTTCACTGATATAATAAAGACGTAATTTGAAATTATTATGATATTAGCGATGTGAATAACAAAGTGTTGTTAAATAAGTAATTTTGTAGCAATCTTCCATAAACGTCATTGCAGATGAAATTTTGGTAGCAGTATTAGGATTCTGTAATATTTCTACATTTTATAAGAAGCAGCAGCATCATATAATCTCCAGTTTGTTTCAAAACAATGCGGGTCGACCTTGTATCATCTCAATTTTCTGCCATTATAAAGGTAAGAAGGCAAACTTTTTAGGATTAAATATCTTTACCGGTTGTTCAGTCCCTTTCACAAAAATTTTGCTCGAATCAAAAGTTTGTATAACGAATAAAAACGCAAAAACTGTGATTTTGTAATACAAAAGTATAGAAAAGTGGGACCGATAACCCCCACGAAGGTCATAATCAGATGAGCTAACCTCCGGCTTCAATTATCTTACTATATTTTATACATGCATGCGTTATCCAGTGTAATATACGTATCAGTGGGTCAAAGATTCATTGTGCATTAATAATACGTGACCACGATAGTTACATGATTTGTTACATTAGTAAAAAAAATGTTCAGAAACATAGTATTTTCAAAATCTTGTTTAAAAAAACCCATTGACAGCTCATAACAAGTAATGTACCTTTTGATTTGTTGACATAGTAGGGTGAACGACGTCTTATACAAAAATACCCGCTATAAGTTTGAAAGGCGAATTATTGACGATGTTCTATTTAGAGAAAAAAGTGGTTATTAATCACAATGACAACAAGATATATTTCGTTTTGATTGGCGAGAAGATTTAAGGACTAAACTTTCAATGATTTAAGAAACACGTCAGCTGTCACGTGACATGCAATTTAAGCGATGAGATTTAGGAAATGAAGATGTTGGTTAATGATCTTTACTGGGTTGTTTAACTTTACCAAGTGAACTGTATGCACAAAGCACATTTTTTGAAATCTTGAGCATTTTTAATATTTGACGTAGATTATTTTAAAAATTTATTATTTCAACTTTTCTAATCAATGTACTTCACTCCATATGGCAAAGTATTTACCAGGCTGCCCACCTGTGTGCACTGCGCACATATTTTTAAAATAATTATCCATATGTACGTGATATTATGCCGTTTTGTAATCAAAACTACATTGCATATCAGAGACAACACCTTTGATTTTATCGTGTTACGTTCATGAAAGCACTCTTGACTTAAAACTTCACACAGGAAAACTTGTTGTAGCTGTCTGAAAGTTTTGGTTTGCTAAATGGAAAGCATAATAAATGACTGAAAATAATTAATGTCACCGATGTCTTTGTCTTAATTATGAATTTTTTATTAAAGTTCAAAGATTTATATTCTTGCGTAAGAGGCTGCCAAAGACGACGAATACATAATGCAGAAGCTCTATTCACTACATAAGCTACTCAATGATTGTTTTCTGGATTGAGCAAATTCTGCCGCAATGTGTTTCAAATAAAGACTAATATCACCAATTAACTATATTTTTAAATTCTTCTTGTTGTTTTGATTGTCAAAGCAACGATATGTCAAGATGCGAAATTTTGTTTTATTTCATACAAAACAATGAAATGCTTATTGATTGAGCAAGTGCATGAATATCACAGCAAAAGTAAATCAAAATAGTGAATGCAGTGATATCAAAAAATAACTTGTAACAACTTAATTTCTGTTTGAAAAATATTCAAAACCAACCAAATATAGTCTGTATTTTACAAAAATAAAGCTTAGCCTTGAAAATATTTGAAATCAGCATCTCGAAGTACCACTGTTGGATCGAGACTAAGTCAAATAAATTACTGCAGCACATTTAGGCGTATATTTACATTTCTAAGTACCTTAGAGGCAAATCCATTGGTAAAATTTTATTCTTTAGAAATTAAAAACAGTGTTTTTCTGAATGTAATTTTATTCTTTAGAAATTAAAAATAGTGTTTTTCTGAATGTAATTTGAATTTGAAACTGAGGAGCTATAATTTATTTGACGTACACTGGACCGCCACTGCGAAGTACAACGAATAGTGAGCTGTTACACTATATTGTGGGAAATGCTATATCTGGCATATTTTTCCTAAATATAGTGATTACTTTCTCAAGAAACATTCAAATACTTTGCAACGAGGAATATTCGCCTCTATATGAAAAAAGAAACTTTTGTAGTATCTAAAAAATCGTATAAACCAAATTCTTACTGCAATAGACAATTATTGTTGAAGAGTGTCTCATTTAAAACTTGTTTTTATAGGAAGTACATTTGCCATAAACAGGGAAATGGACGGTCAGATATCAGCAAAAAATGCTCATAAAAGATACGAAGGTCGAGTAATATTTGGAGGAAGAGCGTCAGACAGGATTACCAATATTGAAGTTACTTCGGAGTATCCTCTTGTATCCTTCATAACCACGATAGCACCCTCACCTGATTGGTTCATAGGTGTCCACGATTACAGCTTATGTAATACCATCACGGGGAAATGGAAGAATGAAATTTCAAGAGATTTGCTTCCTTATGACGCTGGCACTGATAGTGGACAATTTTTTAGAAGTCTAAACTCTCTTACAAATCCACCTGAGAATATTCATCTTCTTACAAATGATATTGATGGATCTCTTAAGAGCAATGAGCCGGTAAAAAGCTTTGGAAAGTTTACATTTGTAAAGACTTTTGAAGTAAATGCACCGTTCTCATATATTGCAATTGATAGTCCCGTCCATTCAACATTAAATAGAATGTCAGAAATCAGTGTGCCCATCGCATCAATAAGAAGTAACATATCGGAAATTAACGTGCCTATGACTTTAATATCAATGACCACAACTAATTCAAATGTCTTTATCACATCAAAATTAAGGAGAACACCTAAAGTCGATGCTTCTGTCACTTTAACGTCAACTAAGATATCTAAAATCGAATTCCCTGTCACATTCACATCGAATATAATATCAGATGTCAGTTTTTCCATAACGCCAGCTTTAACTGAGACATTTAAAGTCAATGTTCCCATTACAACAACATCAGTTAATACATCAATATCAGAAGTCAGTTCCTCCATCACGCCGGCATTAACTGAGACATTTAAAGTCAATGTTTCCATTACAACAACATCAGTTAATACATCAATATCAGAAGTCAGTTCTTCCATCACGCCGGCATTAACTGAGACATTTAAAGTCAATGTTCCCATTACAGCAACATCAGTTAATACATCAATATCAGAAGTCAGTTCCTCCATCACGCCGGCATTAACTGAGACATTTAAAGTCAATGTTCCCATTACAAAAACATCAGTTAAATTATCTGAAGTAAATGCAACGGTCGCTTCAGCATTGAAGAAGACATCTAAAGTCCAATTTTTTATCACGTCTGCAACTCCAAAGACAACCAAAGTCAATATACATGAAGTATCACCAACATCAGTTGAGCCAACAATAAGCCTGCAGGTCACGAGCAGATTTGCGCCTGCTTCAAATGGAAAAACCAGATTTTGGAAAATAAAAACGAAAAACAGGGCCTGGGGAGGGCGAAGATTTAGAAAATTTAAATACAAGGGATGGAAAGGAAGAAGAGGTAAAATGTTTTGGAGGGTAAATAAGGGATACAGAAAACAAGGACGTAGAAGTGTTTATAGTGGATGAGAAAACAAAAGGAAATAGAATAGACAAATTGGAGATGTGTTTAAATTTAAAACGAGGGTAGAGGCATAACTGAAACTTTCAAGATAATCCCCATTTGCATGTATACAATCAATATAGAAATAGTGAAAAAAATCTTAATAAATGTCTGAAAAACTGTGCAATTGTTAACAAACATTTAAGAATTCAACGCGACAAATACGTTTGTTGATTTCTAAATGTATTTACTTTTCTCAAGTTGAGGTGTAACCGTTTATAATGTGAAATTTTTTAGTGAATGGATTTCGAAATTGCTCAAATTATCAGCAATGACGGACTTGATAATGAAAAACTAAACTAGTGTACTTTTTTCTCATTTTGATACAACAAAATCATTGGGCACTTGAAGTTATTTCCATTACATCTACATTCCTCGAATTAATTTATCGACGTGGATGACTGAGCTTCTTTTCAATTTTCAACTAAGCCTATAGGCCGTTTTGGTGATGAGACTGTTCAAGATAATAATAGTTAAGGTCATTTTACAGTCAAACATCATTGTTTTGTGAAGCAACTCGTTTCTACAACGCCTTCAGACGACTAAGTGCCCAATGCAGTACGGTGCTCAGGCACGGTACTGCTCAATTAAAAACGTTCAGTTTTTAAAACAAGATGTAACTTGTTGTAAAATATGCCCAATAAGAAATCGGTTTTTAAGCCAATGAGTAACTTATTATTTTTGTCATTGTTCTTCTTATTAACATGTTTGGATGAAGATTGTCGAGGCTAATGTAGAGTCCCTGTATTGAAATAGACCGACATTTTGACAACCTTAGCTGTATTCATCTTCAGAGTCAAGTGAGGAGCAATCGTCAGGTTCTTCTTACTAATAAACCTTCTTCCTCGTTGATAGAGCTCACAGGATCAGGATAATTTTCAAATTTTGCTTCATTTTTTTCGGCCGGCTTGCTCAAAAAGAGTAAAACAAGTATCGCCAGTATCATAAAGCATGTAAACCAACAGGATAATATAAGTGCGTTCATAGTTGAGTTGTTGACGATACAGTGTTTATTATAAATAAAACACATCCATTCCACCTGTCGGATATCACTTTTCGGATCATTGAAACCATTACATTTTTCTTTAAGCACTTTAAACGCAAATGTTTTGCGCAGTAACCTCAAATTTGTATTTCCTGCTCATATATTTGATGTGCATATTGTGTGAGGTGAATGCGGTTAGTCAGTAAATGCGGTTAGTATGTAAATTCACACAAATAATATTTGTAATTTGCAAAAGACTCGGAAGCGAAATATGCTCGTTTGCTTTATGCCTTTCATCATTCAACTCACCAAAACTTGCTGTGAGCAAAATGAACCAATCGATGAAAACAGTACGGGGATACGTATCAAGAACATTGCTCATCGTACTAAGTTCAAGTGTTTCCTACCGTCTGCACGAACGAGGCGTAATTGATATTTGTGATCGCCTGCAAAACATGCATTTAAAGTTCGATCTTCGAGCTTGGAGTGACTATTGTTCATATATTCAACTATTTACGAGGATACAGACAAAATTTTTTTCACTCAGAAACATTCAACTGCAAATTTGCTTATTGAAACGCTTTCCATTTTCCTTTTTTGCAGCTGTGACTAACGGTAATAAGTATTATGGGCTCATTAACTAAAACTGATGTGGTAAATGAACTATTTTAAATCTATTCAAAATTTTATCCCTTTTTCCCGCCTTTTACGGTTTTACCTTCTCTGTACGCGTTTTACCCTCTATTCCACTTTTCGCCATTCCATTTCTGTATATTGTCCTTACCCTTACTCACAAAGCATTATAAATGAGCAATCGAGATACCAAATGTGGCAGAGTTATCAGTTATTCACAAGTATAATTTGTTGCTATTGTTACTCGTCAAGCCGCATACGAACATCGTGCAAACTAAATGAAAGTGTTAAATAGTTATGGATCATCTATGCATGATCTCACTTCACAATAAATATCAAATGTAGATCATTTTATATAAATTATGTTGAAATGTGTGTTTGATCATAATTCTTGAGAATGGTAACATTACTATGACCGCTTACTTAAGTTTAAACCTGCCTTCCAGCAGTGATTATGCTAACTTTCGCTTCACTGTGTATAATACTATTAAAACAGAATATTCAATAAGCCTTTCATATCTTGGAACTGTAAAATATAAAGGGTACAAGATTGTATCAAAGCCACTGACTGTATCAAATTGATACTGCAGTGTGTCAATATTGTATATTATTATATAAATTGCTAAGGTTTTATTTTTTCGTTTTTATGCATTGGCGTCAATCCTGCGATATTTGCGGGGGAACATATTCGTATATTCTGTGATGCCAGGCTGATTTCTTTTGAAAGTGAAATTGTTTTGAAAAGAAATTAGACAGGCATAGCAGAATATATGAATAATGCCCCCAATTAACACAAGATTGACGGCAATGTTTTCTTGATATTTCCTGCGGAAGTAATACTTTAAAAATATATAAACACTACAATGTAAAACGTTTAATCATTCTTTAGAGGAAGTTCAGTACTGAACGAATCTACTGCAGTTTTCATACATTACCCAAAGATAGTCATTTGATGAACCTTTCATATTTGTAGCGTGAATAAATTGATGTTTAACTGAGTTTTCTACGACAGAAATAATTGAAATACAACAGGTGACAATGACGGTGTACATCAAAAATATACTAGCAAGTTTGCTGCTGACTTTAAACTCTCTAAATTTTGCAAAAGCCAATTCTTGTAATGGTGTGGCAAGATACACGTTGACGTTTCAAGGAGAATGGACAAGCGCAAGGCATCCTAACTTTCCTCCAGGTCCTCATTTCTCTGCTGTCGTTGGTTGTAGCCATAAAGCTTCATATGTTATGTGGAAAGCTGGGATTAAAGCCACAACAGGAGTTAAGGATGTTGCTGAACTCGGTATGTTTTATTTTAAGTATTTTAAATCAGTAAAAGTGTAGGGTATGTTGGGATACGTCAACCAGACAACACTTTGTCAATGTGTTGTATTAAGATGTTTTTTTTAATACAGAATTTTGTTTTATGACTGGATAATTCTATTGCTATACAACATTTTTTGTAAATTTAAAAATTGCAGTTACTTTAAATGTTTTTATTATTACTTTCAGTAAAAATAAATATGAGGAGAATTTTGACTTTCATTTCCTTGTTTCCTTAAATTTATGCAATGTTGCTATTTGAGAATGTTAATGATGTTGTCGGTATGCAGACTACGATTTAACGAAAGACTTGAGGCAATATTTATACTTAGGCTGTTTGCCGATTTCATCAACTGTATAAAAAAGCAAGAGAACGAGTCTGTTGCTAATCACGGATCAAAATGTATATAACAGCCTTTTAAAGCAGGCAATTTTTGTTTTTAAATATATTTATTGTTACAAACCATGGATTACATGTATGTTCTATAAACTTTGACAATATACTTCAGTTTTTTATCTTGTGTTCAGTTTGTAAGGAAGAAAAGTGCTATAGATTCAAAGCAAAGTTTAGATGGAAATATACAGTCAACTTACTGAACTATACAATACATACCAAATCACATATGCGTATGTAGTGACGTACATAACGTACGTATTTATTCATCTAAATTTATGTATTAGCAATAGATGTAATAGCCAATCTTACACTTACTCAAACGCGCTACTTAAACTTACGCACTTAACTTTATAATTACGTAAAATTACTCAAATTTCAAGTATAATATCTGCCCTGTAATAACTGCACCTTCTTTAGCTAAATGTGTAAAAAGCCTGTAAATAAATTGTAAAAGATAGAATACTCTCAACTGTTGCAAATAACTTCTTCGCTAGGGAATAAAATAATCACAAAAACTTAATAGCGTTCTAGTACATTGAGCTCACGCTCGGAGCTCATACGAAAGACTTATATAACGCTAAACGTACACGCATTATCTAATGCAACGTGGTCCATATTATAAAACAATTATATTAAGCCTAGGAAATAAAACACATGCGCAGAAACAAAGCCAATTTTGCCAATTGACAGACTCTTAAGTCTGTAATTCTGTGACTCTTAACACACACGTTTGTGGTGACTTTTCGTTTGAGGAAAAAAGCCTTGATAAGCAGATTAGACACATTCAAATGGAATTTAAGTTATGCTAACAATTTTTTTGTTCTACGTGGGGTAGACAAACGTTTTCATGTCGACATCATCTCCTCATACAAAGAAAACAAAGCTTTTTGTCGTTGACCTCAGTTTAAACCGATTAAGACATCATGCAGATATGGTGATTAAAATGCCGCGTGGTGTGGTTTAGTACCAAGCCCAGTTGATATATATCAGTAAAACAAACACTGTCAAAGAGTAATAGAAATGTTTTAAAATAATAAAGCTAGATATTATACGGCATTTATCATCATCATCGTCAGTAACACAAATAAATGAAAAAATTGGACAATAGTTTTTTCGAGATAGTTTTTATGAAAGTTGTTTACATTTTTTTGTAGAACTACGTGTACACTGACAAAAATATATCAGAGCCAGTCAAAGCCCATCATTTTGCCGGAAGGGAAGTTGCCCTATAATAACACACAAGTAGTCCAGTTTTTCATTGCTTTTGCCAATGAGAGTTTCTTAGGATTGTTGATTTTGTAAGAATAGTATTTTTCCAGTAAAATTCCGCCACAAATAAGAGTTTTTGACCCACAGTCAAAATCGTTTTTCCTGTTGCATTTCTTTCTCTTTTATACCACTAAAAAATTTTTACTTTCTTCCCATTGCACTCAATTGTATTTCTGCAATAGACAAATATTGGTCAAGAGTGTCTAAGTAAAACTTGTTTTTTTAGGAAGTACGTTTGCCATAAACAGAGAAATGGACGGTCAGATATCAGCAAAAAATGCTCATAAAAGATATCAAGGTCGAGTAATATTTGGAGGAAGAGCGTCAGACAGGATTACCAATATTGAAGTTACTTCAGAGTATCCTCTTGTATCCTTCATAACCATGATAGCACCCTCACCTGATTGGTTCATAGGTGTTCACGATTACAGCTTATGTAATACCACCACGGGGAAATGGAAGAATGAAATTTCAAGAGATTTGTTTCCTTATGACGCTGGAACTGATAGTGGACTATTTTTTACAAGTTCCAACTCTCCAACAAATCCACCTGGGGACATTCATCTTCTTACAAATGATATTGAGGGATCTCTTAAAAGTAACCAACCAGTGAAAAGCTTTGGGACGTTTACCTTTGTGAAGACATCGGAGGTTAATGTACCAATAACATCGACATCAGTTTCAACCTCTTCATCTACAGCACAAACGACCAAGAACAGCATATCGTTACATAGCAGCACAACAGAGGGAAGTCATGCAAATCAAGCAATTGGCATTTCGACATCAATTTTTCCCTCTGAAATTAGTGTGACCATCCATTCTACATCTGCCGCATACATGACAGAAAACAGCGTATCGCTACGAAACAACACAACAGAAAGAACTCGAGAAGTTCAAGCAATTGATACATCGACATCAATTTTTCCCTCTGAAATTCATGTGACCATCCATTCAACATCTAAAGTATACATGACAGAAAACAGTATATCTTTACGAAACAACACAACAGAAAGAACTCGTGAAGTTCAAGCAATTGATACATCGACATCAATTTTTCCCTCTGAAATTCATATGACCATCCATTCAACATCTAAAGTATACATGACAGAAAACAGCATATCTTTACGAAACAACACAACAGAAAGAGCTCGTGAAGTTCAAGCAATTGACACATTGACATCAATTTTGACCACTGAAACTAATGTGACCATCCATTCAACATCTAAAGTATACATGACAGAAAACAGCGTATCGCTACGAATCAGCACAACAGAGGAAAGTCATGCATGTCATGCAATTGGCACAAAACTTTTACTTTTCTTTCAACTGGCCATTATATTTATGACTATAGATTCAAGATCACTTTTACTTGAATAAATTAGCAATGTAAAATAACTCGATATCGCAATATTTAAAATTCTAGATCTCGCGATACATTCTCTTGTTTGTGTTGCGCAAGAAACAAAAATATAGAACCTTTCACTTTGCTGATTGCTTTTAAAGTGCTAACAACTCAATATTATTATTGTCCACACAGTACGTCGACAAATGAAACTTTATGTACCCAGTTCAGGTTATCATATTCACAAGCAGTAGCTGTAAATAGCCAATATTAAAATGATCTTGCATCTTTATTTGTTACTATTTGCAATAAAGCGTAGACAAATACTTCTTAATTTCTCAAAAAATCTCTGAGTTTTATTTTCGACATTAAATTTGGGGATAAGTGGTTCTAAAATATAGATGGACTACATGTGCACAATACAAGCACAAACCCCTACATTGAGTAACCTACATTTACCTCTTTATTTGTTTTTCACATAAAGGAATAAAATGAAAACATTAGAAAAACGAGCCCGTTTTAGTTCATCATTCTTTCATTCCTTTAACTTTAACTCTATCTGACTTTATTACTTTAAGTTTACGAGAAATGAGGATATTTTTAAACTGTTATCTCCTTTCCTTAAGTAGTTTAATTCAGTAATGACAACAAAAACGATCCGATGCTTAATTTTCGGTAGCTATCTTGTTTTCTGTGGTGAAACTGCCCATAACTGTTTTGCTTTCAAGGATATGTCAAAGGTCGTATTGTTTCAACGATCTAAATCCTTCTTTTTGCCGGATTCTATAATTTCTTAATCAGGATGGGCTACGTACGCAGGGAGAAAAGAGCGGGTGACTTTCATTGTAATAACCTTTGCCTGCATGGCTTTGCTTCAGAGGAAAATCATCGAAAACGATGGGGCTCAATCGTTGAAAAAATTAATGAAACAAGGGATTAGTGCCATATTAGAATATTGTCAACTTGTCAAAATTCGAAATTTGTTTTATGTTTATATGTAATGCTAAAGGACAGCGACACTTCATGTCTTAGCACCACGATGGCGGCAACAAACTAAACAAGTTTCGTGAACACCCACCGCCGAAAACAAGGAAGTCAAAACCACAAAAACAAAGAGTTACAGCGAGGGTAATGACTTTAAAAGTTTGTGAATATCACCATTCTTGATTAAAGTTCGCGTTTAATTTGTCCGAAATGTACGCAAAGTCAATTTGGGCATAATATCATCTGTGTTTAAATACGTGAGTCCAATTTTGTTGTAATCAAAAAGCGGAAAGTTAAAGAAAACATTTGTTTTCTTTGAACAACTTGACCGTCGTTTGAGCGATGTTCTTGAGTTCGCAAATGTGCGGAACTCATAAGCCAAGTCAAACGAGCTAAACCCTAAACTAGCCGAGTACCTGTGAGCAGTCATAGCCGAAATGGTAAAAAATGCGCGTTGTGCAGTTGGATATTGCGATAATGATAAACGCTATACTGATTATCAAGTTATGAGGTCTCACGTAGAAAAGTTAGTTTTTCATTAGTGGCCCAAAGATCAAGGACTTGCTGAAATTTTGCGAAAACAAATTGCAAACAGCAGAGCCGATGACTTTAACCCAAAGCCTGGTGCACAAGGTACTTTCATTTGCTCAAATTATTTTCCCTTGGGAAGAAGAACCCCAAATAACTGCGGAACGGATTATCCTTTGGTTTTTATTACGCTATCAGACTACGAGCAATCGAGGACTCCGCTTAAACGTAAAGGAAGAGAAACATGGACGACATCAAAGCTTTCTCATCAAGCCTATGACACCGAGGATTCTGATTCAAGTTTTGATGGAAATCCAGCAAAATCTGAGGCATCTTTGCTCCCTGTCCCTTTAGAATTTGAACAGTTGACGAGAGAGTATAATGTAAGGTTTCATGTTTGTAAATGATGATCGTCCAGCTTAATAAAGTCCTGAGAAGGACTGTTTTTGTTGTTGTTGACTGACGTTTCGACAACCTTGGCGGCAGTCATCTTCAGAGTCAAATGAGGAGTAAACGTCAGGTTAGCCGTATTTGTTATCTGGTTCTTACGTCATTGTATTGTGTGTACAGGAAATGTGTATTGTCATTGTGGATTAGTGTGAAGTGAAATATTTTATTTTTAGTTGTGATGTGTGATTTAGGTGTGATGTTTTTAGTTGCAATGTGTGGGTGTCAATTGTGTATTGTCATTGTGAATTAGTGTGAAGTGTAATGTTTGTAGTTGATCGTTTGTTTGTATTGTGAATAAGTCGTTTGTAAAGCCCGCCGTACACTGGTGAACTTGCCGCGCGTACTTGTTATTCGTGACAAGTACGATCGACAGAATTTCCTAGTGTGCGCGGAAGTTTTGAACAACATTTGTCATTCGTGACAGATGAGTCAAATATCAAACGCGTTTGATGTTTGCTCTCTATTAGTAAGAGTTGGGACATCTATTGTTATCCGTTTAGCTTACGTTGATTGGGCAATATTGATCACCTGATTAATTTCCGCAATTTTGGTTCCTAGTTTTGAAATTTCAGCTAGTGTTTATATAGCAATTGCTGCTAGTAATACAGCATTTTGAGATAATATCGTTGAACTTACAAAATTTGATTGCGTATGGTGATTGTTGTGCTGAACTGCTTTTGATATAAGGTTCAATTAACAGACTCAAGTAGAGAAACATTTTTGGGCCAAATAACATTGAAAAGTTCGAGCTGATGCAGTTTCAATAGTTTTCTTACTCCAAAGTTTGTTTTTTAATCGAAGATGATTTCTCATTATGTTCTGAAATTGGTCAATCTACAAGCCTCTCAATTCTCAGCCACTTCCATACTAAAACAACTACACCAAATCATAGAAACTCTTATGATTTTCCATGTTGTATTTCGTATTTTTAGTTCATCATTTAAAAATGAAGTAATTATAATTAGGATATTCAATGAAACAGCTGAGTACAATATATTTTTGGTATTGAATTGTACAAATGTACCCTACTTCTGTAGCTCAAAGTATAACATTACTTCTCTTCTAGACTTGTTGATGATATTTTAATTGTAGGTTTTGGTTTATAAGATCACAGAGGCATATCTCCATAATTTCAGCTATTTGGGCTTTTTAATGTATATTACAACTGTTGCTGCCTTTCTCATATATATTAAAATATTGCCGGCTTTCTGATATATATTTAGGTGCTGCTAGCTTTTTGATATATATATTTCACTGGCAATACAAGGCATAGAATTTGAACAAACGGGTCTGAGCTCCCTCCAACACACCCCTGTTTGATCATTAAACACATATAGAAGTTTTGTCATTCCTCAACCAATAAATTTAACTCTTTGCTAAATAAAAGATTGGATCAGACTCATATACTGTATAAAAGACTACAAACAGTAGCATTTATAGCAAACAAACTGTTCTTCAACAACAGAAATGTTTCATATTATAGAAATAATATATTCATTTTAAAGAAATGCTTCACCAAAATTTTCAGCAGAATCCCTAACAAACTTTATTAGAAATAAACTTTAATACTTTATCAAGTGATAAAGGCGAAATAACTTCATATACAGGAATAAAACGTTTAAGGTCAAATGCATCATGGTCAAATCATTGCTTATTTCAATAACTAAAAAGTAAAAAAGACTGTCATTTTCTGCTGAGCAAGAAAATTTTGTGATCTTTCAGAATAAAAAATGTCATGTTTGGATCAAATTGGGGGGCATAAACCACTCACTAGCATTAAATTGTTACAAATCTTGAACACAAATCTCTCCGGACCAAAACTGCATGATTACTATTATTCGAAGTTTCGAACAAAGTCTTGTCCAAGTATTTGATAACACTGATGCCAGGATAACATTGCCGCTTGCCACCAAGCTTAAAGATCTTGAAAACGTGTTACAGAGTCAAAACATAAGCCGAGAAAACACGTTCACGTACGAAAAATACTTCTTACAATGGGTCACGATCAACTTGAAGCACGAAATAGTAAACCGCAAACGAAGCTCAAACCAATGAAATTAAATCAGGTCTGCAGAAAATCGTTAAAAAAACGCAAAGAGCTTGCTATTATTCCTAATATATTTGATACTACCATGGAATAAGCTTAAATTGCTTTCTTCTTTTGCATATAAACCCTATTTCCAATGGTATTATTAAAGTTTCACTTTGCAAGTAGGAACCAAAATGGCGGCTCCGCGCTCGACCCAGACCGTTTGTCCCAACTCTTATTTATAGAGGGCTCTGGTTGCTATGGGTGATAAACCAGTCTATATTATGCTCGCTTTCGATTTCTGTATATAATAACATTAAACTAATTAAAGCAGAATATTTGATTGCGGAAATTATACTTTTAAAAATGTAAACCCGAGAATCTAAGGCATTGAATCATTCTTTTCGGACAAACAGGGAGCACATTTGGTGAGTCTTTCATATTAACAGAACAAATAAATTGATGTTTATCTGAATTTTCAACGACAGAAATAATTGAAATACAACAGGTGACAATGACGGTGGACATCAAAAATATTTTAGCAAGTTTGTTGCTGACTTTAAACACTCCATACTTTGCAAAAGCCATCTCTTGTAATGGTCTGGCAAGATACACGTTGACGTTTCAAGGAGAATGGACAAGCGCAAGGCATCCTGACTTTCCTCCAAATCCTCATTTCTCTGCTGTCGTTGGCTGTAGCCATAATGCTTCATATGTTATGTGGAAAGCTGGGATTAAAGCCACAACAGGAGTTAAGAACGTTGCTGAACTCGGTATGTTTTATTTTAAGTATTTTAAATCAGTAAGAGTGTGAGGTATGTTGGGATACGTCAGTCGTCAACACTTTGTCAATGTTTTGTATTAAGATGTTTTTGCTAATTACAGAATTTTGTTTTTGGTTCGTTGTCTTTATCGCTTTACTTTATATTTTCCCTAAATTACAAGATTTTACTTACTTTATACTTTTAGTAATAGAAGATATGGAACGTTGACTTTCATGTTCGTATAGCCATAATTTATATTTTTACATGTTAGGGATGTTGTCGGTTTATATAAGTGATTCGCCGATTTCATCAACTATATAAAAAAGCAAGAGTACGAATTTATTGCTAATCATGGATGAAAAGCATACAAAAGCCGAGACAATTTTACTGTTAAAATATTTATTCTTTCAAACCAAGTATTATATACATGTTTGCTCATAACAATACTGCAATTTTCTATCTTGTATCGGCTACGCAAAAGTAAGAGTTGAACAAAGAGAAGTTGTAAAGATTCGAAGCAAAGCTGGAAATATACAGTGACCTACATTCGTACATACGCAATACAATATCTAATAGACTAATACATGATGGTAGCCATTATAAATAATGTAGGCAAATAAAGCAACGGAACAAAACCAATTATGCCATTTAATGGCTTGGTTTTAGGCAAAAATGTTTGATAAACATATCAAACACACTAGAATGAAATTTGATAAGGTGACAATTTTTGTTAATACGTAGGTGGACAAACATTTCCTTGTCAAAACAGGTCACAAAGAAAACAAAGAGTTTTGTTGTTAACCTCTGTTGACCCCGATTAGGATAGAATACCGGCGTGGGAGATGAAATGCACATAGTTGGAATAAAATGCCGCGTGGTGTATGTAAAGTAGTTGTTGTACCAAGCCCTACTGATATGTACATTGAAAACAGTAATTTAGTAAATAAAATCAAAAATTATGCTGTAGTTGTAGTGTAAGATACCGATACTTATGCGCTTGGGTTAGAAAAGATGAATTTTCAATGCCGTCAATCCTTCACAAGGATAGAATTATAACAACCGCAACTATATGCAAAGTACACTTTAGGGAGGAATATTGAACAGAAGTTTTTAACTAAGTTTTTATAATATTTTTTACATTCATTTGTACACTACGTGTGCACCGGTAAAAATTTTTCTGGGCCAATCAAAGCACACCATTTTGCCGGAAGGACGTTTGCCATATTTAATAATAAAGTGTAATGTTTCCACAAGTCGTCCAGTTTTTCGTTTATATTTTCAATGAGAGTTTTTACGAATCCTCGTCCTCGTGATTAATAATACAAAATACTGGAAAATGACTTAGAGTAATTCATTTTGCACGAGAAGCATTTTTGCTTTTGAACTCCGCGATACAACAATAGTTCTTGACTTATTGTCAAAATCCTTATGCATTTGTATATCTGCAAAAGACGAATATTGGTGAAGAGTGTCTAATTTAAACTTGTTTTTATAGGAAGTACATTTGCCATAAACAGCGAAATGGACGGTCAGATATCAGCAAAAAATGCTCATAAAAGATATCAAGGTCGAGTAATATTTGGAGGAAGAGCGTCAGACAGGATTACCAATATTGAAGTTACTTCAGAGTATCCTCTTGTATCCTTCATAACCATGATAGCACCCTCACCTGATTGGTTCATAGGTGTTCACGATTACAGCTTATGTAATACCACCACGGGGAAATGGAAGAATGAAATTTCAAGAGATTTGTTTCCTTATGACGCTGGCACTGATAGTGGACAATTTTTTACAAGTCCCGACTCTCCTACAAATCCACCTGAGAATATCCATCTTCTTACAAATGATTCTGAGGGATCTCTTAAAAGCAACCAACCAGTGAAAAGCTTTGGGACTTTTACCTTTGTGAAGACATCGGAGGTTAACGTACCAATAACATCGACATCAATTTCAACTTTTTCATCTACAGCACAAACGACCGATAACAGCATATTGCTACATAGCAGTAAAACCGAGGGAAGTCATCCAAATCAAACAATTGGCACTTCGACGTCAATTTTTCCCTCTGAAATTAATGTAACCATCCATTCAACATCTACCGCATACATGACAGAAAACAGCGTATCGCTACGAATCAGCACAACAGAGGAAAGTAATGCATGTCATGCAATTGGCACAAAACTTTTACTTTTCTTTCAAATGGCCATTATTTTTATGACTATAGATTCATGATCACTTTTACTTGAATAAATTAGCAATGTAAAATAACTCGTTATCTCAAAATTTAAAATTCTAGATCTCGCGCTACATTCTCTTGTTTGTGTTGTGCAAGAAACAAAAATACAGAACATTTCACCTTGCTGATTGCTTTTCAATTGCTAACAACTCAATATTATTATTGTGGACACTGTACGTCGACAAATGGAACTTTATGCACCCAGTTCAGATTATCATATTCACAAGCAGTAGCTGTAAATAGCCAATATTAAAATAATGTTGCATCTTTATTTGTTACAATTTGCAATAAAGCGTAGACAATATTTGTTAATTTCTCAAAAAATCTCTGAGTTTTATTTTCGACATTAAATTTGGTGATAAGTGGTTCTAAAACATAGATGGACTACATGTGCACAATACAGGAACAAACCCCTACATTGAGTAACCTACACTTACCTCATCTTTATTTGTTTTTTACATAAAGGAATAACATGAAAACTTTAGTAAAACGAGCCCGTTTTAGTTCATCATTCTTTCATTCCTTTAACTTCAACTTTATCTGACTTTATTACATTAAGTTTACCAAAAATGAGGATATTTTTAAACTGTTATCTCTTTTCCTTAAGTAGTTTAATTCAGTAATGACAACAAAAATGATCCGATGCTTAATTTTCGGTAGCTATCTTGTTTTCTTTGAGGAATGACGTCACTTTCTACGCGTAGTGGAACAGTAGAGCTAAGCGTTAACGATGGCGTTCGTTCAATGTTCATTCTACGTGGTGTAAGATCAATACTGCAAACCCTTCTTTGCGATCGAGGTGAACGGCAGGGAGTTCCTGAAACTAATGGAATAATTAAGTAAGCGAATACTCATTTATATGAACGTTTGGATAAATACAGCAGACAGTATGAAGGAAGTATTGTTAAGTTACTAACTACTATGTCTAAATCTATTTTTGCAAAAGACTTGCGATAGTTTTAAAAACAGTAAAAAACTTTACAGTCAACATCAAAAATTAAACATTTATTGAGTCATTTTTGATTGGTTAATTAACTTTGGCAATAAATGCAGAACACACCAGACAGCAAAAGAGTAGTTTTAGGAAAAAATTCCAAAATTGAAAAAATACGACTAAAGCAGAAAAGTTAGTAACATAAGGGAAAGACTACGATTGACACAAACTACACAAATCTAACTTGCTGCCACTTTTTGTTATTTTAGCATAAAAAAACAAACTTCATAGGAAGATAAATTCATATGTTATTTAAATGTACCTAAATGTACCTAAGTGTCAGCGGCATACTCACTTAAGTTTTTTATTGCACAAGATATCCCGTCAGATACTTCCCTGTTATCTAAGGTCGTCGTTTGATCGGCCCATGCTACCTCTCTGTTATCCTCAACCATATTAACAATATTTTCATATTCTTTATCCATTTCTTCAGTGTTCATTTCAGAGGACATCAAAACGACGTGCTGCTTACGAACGCATTTTAGTAACGACTCAATCAAACTAAATAATTATAAGTAAAAACAACTGACATTATCAATAAATAATACTTACAAAGAGAAAACCTTGATTGTTAACTCAACACATTAAAATGAAGTATAGGTACATATATTCCGAATACTTTATGTTAGTTAAATGAACGTAAGCGAAATGACTTTTTTGTTTGCGTTTAGCTGATGCCTGTTTTGCTTGTAAAGTCAAAACTTTTTAAAGCAAGAGCAATCAAATACCAGTGATGACAGGTTAACGATAATTTAAAAACGAAGGTAAACATCACAGCCATGACTTAACAGTTCTTCAGAAGCATGCACAGACATATCACCTAAGTTATTGTTTAACATAGGGCTTTTTATTTAAAGATAATCTATGAAGGCAGTGCATTGAGTTATGGAGAGAAAACATATAAATCTATGCCTTATTAATATAAAAATTTTTATTTGAATATTTGCCTCCACATTTATTTAGAAATGTACGTCAATGACATAAATTATTTTCCCGTGAAAATTTTTTTAAAGATGCTATACTTGATCTCGCATTAACTAAAACTCATCAAATCGATAGGAAACTGACAGCTACCATACCGCTTTTCTCTTTTCCTGTGCAATTCGTAATTTTTTATACATTTCTTGTAGTACTTTGCTTCTTGCATCAATTCATCTGCCTGTATTTTGTTGCGACACGATGTCTCGTACACAGTTAAAAATGATAGCATATCCATAGAACATTGAAGCGATTCAATAATTTTGAAATCATTCTGAGTACGACGAAGCCATTCACTGTTCTCACGAGCCTGCTCATTCAACTTTTCTCGTCGTTCTCTTAAGTGTCTTATCCGCGATTTTGTAGCTGATAAACACTTTCGTACTTTTGTTTCGACCTATGAAAAATTAGCCGGTTTGATTATGTTTTTGATGCTTTTCAGTCACTTCAACACAATACCTGTCAGAAATGTAAAGTTGCGTGAAAAAATTATTCTAGTTAAGTTATTAAACTGAGTTACGATCTACTAAAAATAAGTCTTATAGCAACCCATTACTTTATAAGGTTACAATTTACATTATACATGAAACAAGGGCACTGTAGCACTGTATAAGTTTTCTCGCTTGTCTGAAGTTGTACAAGGCATTGCTGTATGTGACATGTTTATCGAAAGCCAAAATCCTTGTGAGACAAGTATCATCATGACTATTTTCCACCAGGTGCAATTTTTAGTGCGTAAAAGCAGATAACGCGCCTGATTGGTAGACAATGTGTCATAATTTCTTGACCACCAACCCGAAACTTGACTTTGCGCACAAAAAATCCCCAAGATGAAAAATAGGCTTTAAGGACAGTACGAACTAAGAATAAGTAAAATGTTTTGCCAAAGATTGATCTGACCATTTACGGCTGTAACATACTTCGTGCAACTTGTCGCGAAATATATTTGTTTTTTTTTTTGGGAATATTTTATGACATCTAGGCTGCTCGGCGATTCTCAATACATTATGTAACCGTAGCTATAGAATATGTACAATAAATTCAAACCTTGTTCATTTTCAAGTCGTCATAAGAAAGAATATTCATCCATTCCATGTTTCTTTTCTAAACAACAACACATACGTAATTATCATGACGTAATCCACGACAATAAAAAAACATTCAGAAAAACAATCACAAAATATTCATAAAAATTAGAATCTTTAAAACGAGTTATAACCACAAATATAACCAAAACAAAAGGTTGACAAACAAAAGGTTGACAAACAAAAGGATGAAAAGATAAGGCTACGTAACTATTCAGTATTATTTATTGAAAGTCGTAGCTACAATGTTTGCTTTTTACAACGGGTCATAGATGGAACAGGATGTCAAATAATATAAATTAAAAACATTTTCAATTGTTTTCTTCTCTCCATAATTACTTGGGATACCGAAGGTAAGCCCGAGCTTGAAATCAGGAGTTTTTGTGTTGTCGCAAGATTACGTAATTCACGCGTGACAGACACGAAAGTCCTAGAACCAATCAAATCTTTCTTGGATTGTTTCACGCGCAAGAGTCACTAATGAGACCTGTAATGAAACATGCAAGTAAATCATCGATTTATTTATTAATGTTGTGCACCGGAGTTAAGCCAGAGCTCAGGCGTTTTTTGCCTTCCGCAGCCATAGTTTGTTCATGTCCAGGAACCTCCCGTAGCAGTTATTTGTGCTGTCAGACTTTAGTAAACGTATCAGAGCGAAACCTTTTCGTATTAACGAACGATAACTATCGGCTAAAATTAAAAAACTTGCATGAAATAAAACATTTTATGCATGACACAACAAAGCGTTGAAAAAAGATCGAAATAGGAGTGTGGAGCTTTTATTTCATATATAGAAATTTTATTTTTTGATGTTTTTTTCATTGTTTTGCTTCGTGACTGTTTTTTTTTTTGTTCACCGAAAGAGCCAAATAACATTCTTAATTATCTGAAAGAAACGACCTCAAAAGTGACTCGAAAAATTAAGCAGCCAAAAGCAGATATTTGAATGATTCCCGAAGTCGGAGTTCAGAACTGAAGAAGGCTAAGCCGAAAAACAGGAGATTTCAAAGAACTATAATTTGCCAAGCTTATAATATATTGTTACAAGTGAGATTACACTGCCGTCAATCTTTTTGTGCAATTTGGAAACTATTATAATACGCAAGTACAACAAAATAATTTTCTCTAGTAGCCTGTCTTGTTGCAAGTTTTAAAAACAAACCTTTCGATGTAGTTTCTCCATCATTTCTTTCTCAAGACATTCCGTATCAAGAATATTTTTACGAATGTCACCTTTCTGATTGTACACAGATTTAATCTCACTCTTCAACCTAAAAACAAAAAAGAATGTCAAAACCTGTATACTGGAGCAAAATTTATAAAATAGAAACTCCGAAGAGCGGACACGTTTGCCGCCACGAGAGATGTCCGCCAATGATAGGTCATAAAAAGTAAAATGTTGGCATGAACACGAAAGCAGTGTACGCTTCCGAGAGATGTCCGTAAGAAGAGGTCCGACTCTCTCAATTTATAAAACAAATGCTGTGTGAAATGTAAAAGTTTTTTTAAATATCAACAATTGCATTTGAAACAAAACACGGAGCATGCTTTGACGATTTTATGAGACATAAACGATGTTGACAAATAGAAAATGCTGCAGCAAAGAGACTAAGACAAAATGCGAGCCATTTTTCTTTAAAATTAATAAAAAACATTGCAAAGAAATTCAAAAAAGTGCTTCGTACAGTAATAAAAGTAAATGATAAGTGAGCATGCTAATTGACCATGCGCACGAAAACCACGTTGGATAGCATGAAAAATTATGCATTTACTTGATCAGAATATTAATTTCTTTTACCTAACAAAACCGATAAAATTGGGTTCTTCTATGTAGATAGTACATAATTTAGCGTAAATACATAAAAAGACCCACTTCAAACAAATAATTTTAAAAGCAACATTGAATACTTTAATAATCGCTGTTGTTTATAACGGGAGATAAAATGTTCGTCAACATACGTACTTTTCAAATTCGTCTTTCCTACTCTCGTCCAAACGTCTTTTCTTCATTGGCGTAGCTTCACCCATTTCAAATTTATTTAGTCTTTCCTTTAATTGACAAACCTGCGATAAAATAATCTTTGATTAAAATATTCAATTTGCAAGATGGCTAATAAAACATAGAAACAGTGATCTGAGATGCTACGTAACAGTTGCAGTATCAACTAGTGGTCTAAAGTGGTGAAAATAAATTATACAAATTGATTCTAAATTGAAAATGCTTTTATAAACACGCTGTTGTAAGAAATTACGAAAGAATACATAAAGTGCCTGTATCATGTTTTAGTAATTGGGCTATGTATATTTTAGTAATTGGGCTATGTATAATATTTCCATATTTACGGAAAAGCACAATTGAAATAATAAACTGAATGTATAAAACAAACTTCTTTATTACAGACATGTTTCGGCAAACTTATGCCATCATCAGTGCGAGTGAATGTGTTACAGAATGTGATACTTAAATATATAAATAGTAATTGAGATGAGGATAGTATTATAAATATTAACAATTAATTAACATATGGAAGTTGGACGATACATTAAATGGAAGAAAAAAAATATTAACATAAAATTAGATATAAACTAAAAATGGTATTAACGTGGTGAACTTGCTTATTGAGATCGGGTTTAAGTTTGTTAATGTGTAAGGCTTCTTTAATTCTAAGGGTGGAAGAATAGTTGTCAGTGTCGATAACTGTAAAGCAGTTGTTTGTGTATTGTGATTTGCAGTTATGTGAGGAGAGAAGGTGTTTGAAGATGTGCGAGTTTTTATCAGTGGAAATGTGCTCCTTCATCCTGGTAGAAATATGACGTATTGTTTCGCCAATATAGCGACTATTACAAGCCGAACAAGTAAATTGATATACTACCCGGATTTAAGATCAAAGGGAATCGAATCTTTAAAACTGTAAAGATAATTAATTTTGTAGGGCATAAAGATTAATTTAATTTCAATGGGTAAGCAGTATCGTTTGATCAGTACAGTTAATCGCTTTTGAGTGATTTTAAAGAAATATCCTATATAGGGAAGTTTAAAAATATCGTGTGCTGTTAGCATCATTAGTGTAGATAGTTCAGAGGATTTTAAACATATTGTCAATATAATTTATAATTCGAAAATTTGATCTTCGTGCATTTTTGAAAGCTTAAAGTCGGGGATTATTTGTCTGGCCGTGACATTAAAAAAACTAGGGCGAGAGTTTAGATCTGACGTCATACCGGGAATTCGTTTTAAGAAAACAGTGTATTTTACATATAATTTCCTCAAAAGCATAGCTATATTGTTGCATTACCTACTTGTATGGCATCTTGTGTTACGGATGTTCAAAAACATTTAATTTTAAACAAAAATACGACAGACGAATTCCCGATGTGACGTCAAAAATGACATTAGTTACCAGCTTTTTTATACTGGTAGTCAAACAATGAAAAGGGTCAATTTTTCAACTTGGAGTGCAAAACTATACAGCAAAATATTACTTTCGAACAATACAATATATTTTTTAGAGTAGCCTGAACTATCTAAATGGCAGAAATGCAAAAACACTATATAGGCATTTTAAAGCTGAAATACTCCAAATAGGACTCGTTCTAAGGTATTTTAAAATTGAAATATTTTTTTCTTAATTTATTCCTATCGACCGTGTTCCCCTTTACGCACCACCCTCTAATAAGCGCCGCATTGACAAACATTGAAATGATGATAAACGTCTTCATCATCAATACACGCATTCTACTTGAAAATGCCCCTCTTCCATTACATGTTGCATTCTTTTCTTCGCATTCAAAGTCAAAGAGCATCGATTTTTTTTCTGCCTCTTTGATTTTTTATGTTTTTGTCGTAATGTTTTCCGTAACTAAGTTTTCATGAACTCAATAGCAAGAGAAGCCTCCACCCGATAAACTACAAGGTCAAATATCATCAAAGTCAATAAATACACCAGGCGTGTAGAAGAATAAATGAAGTAGATCATTTTTGTTTATCGCAAAAAAAGGGGGAGGGGAGGGGTAATCAGGTTTTTAAGAGAGTGCGAGTGTAACCACGTCATGTATCACGTGAACAAATAATGGAGTTATAGACAAAATGTAAAGTTTGAAATATAACAATAAGCTTTACACGAAAGCTGTTATACGCAATCTAAATAACTCGGTACAAGCGCTAGGTACAAATGAAGATTTTTGATTGCATACCTCTGCCTGTAGTTCTTTTACGAGTTTTGGATACTGGCTCAAGTGAAGGTCAACACTGACTACATTTTTCACAAGACTTGATTTGATGTTCTTTGCTCTATCAGCATACTTTAAGGTGTTGTAAGTGTCTTCATACGATAACGACGAAGGACTACATAAAACGGGAATGTAAAAATGATGCTGTTTGACGAGTGTCATCGTTTGTTACTTCATTAACTAGTGTAAAAGGAAAGACGATTCACGCTTTCCCTGTAAGCTGAGACAAAATTGTTGGCCTTTAAGTGATATCTATTCCTCCCAAGGAGAAAATGCAAAAAGAAAAATTGGAAAAACCACCCTTGTAGCTACATTTACCGTAACTCATTTTCACAACACCATCACAAAACATTTCTTTAATAACAGAACTGAAACGCGTGCACTGATTGGTCTATAGCTGAGTTTGCATTGACCAGTGCAAACCGATCTGACCTCAGCCAATTAAACAAATCAAAAGAATTTGCAAATCAATTGTGAATCCATATTAGAGAAAAAATTCAAAAATTTGTTTTAAATTTATCTGTTTCACATTGTTTTTACTTTTTAACAATGTTTGCTCTTGCTTTTGAATAACTCGGAGACGTTTGTGAGAACCCGCGAGCAGGTGCATAAAACTGTCGACCTTCGATCTCGGGCTTGCACTAAACTGCTCGAGTTCTTCCAAAAGTCTCCTTGCATTAGCCTGTGAAAACAGTACAAACATCTTTTATTGAAAAAATAATTGAATAATTTATTTCGATCAAACTATGCCCAACGCTAATGAACTGACTGCCATACATAATCTTATTGCTTCTAACATCTTCCGCATTATTCTGATTTCTTTTTCTGAGAGTAACAGACTTCATGTAAGATTTATGAGGATAATGCAAATTACCAAATTTGCCGGTGTATAAGTCGACTCGTTGTATAAGTCGACCCTCTAAAATTCGACAAAAATTTACGATTTTATGATATATCCTTTGTATAAGTCGAGCTCAATTGTTTCATTATCTTAAACTTATTACACGTAATAATTAATAATAAGATGTATAAATACTACGCCAGAAGGGAACTGTCCTTTCGATAGAGTTTTTCTCTTAAAAACGACCAACGGCTTCAGCTTTGTACCATTAGCTAAGCAGGAAAGTACAACGGTGAATCTAGACTTTTCATGGCCTGTTGTTCTCACGAGAACAGTTTTTTCACCTTTGGCAGATACAGTTTTCGATGTACAGGTAGGCATATCAAACCTTACCAGGGCATTTACAGACTGATTTCCGACACAATATAGAAAGTTAAAGTAATTACCATCACGTTTGAAGCGATGAATACGAAGTTGAATTTCATGACTCGGTGTATAAGTGGAGGTCGATTTTTTTAGGTCGATTTTTGATCGAAAAAGGTCGACTTATACACCGGCAAATACGGTAAATCTCAGGTGCCAAGAAGAATGATTAAATGAATTTTTGGCCTAGTTTAGACGTCGAACTTTATATGAACTAAATGCATTAAAGACAAAATAAAAATGAGATGAACTCCCTCATTATCTTTTGTTTTAAATGCATTTGGTTCATGTAAAGTTCAACGTCTAAACTAGGCCTTTGACACACACACAAAAAACACGAGAACAATATATATGCGCAGGTGCAAACAAAAGATGCACTTGTATAGCTATACCGTATTTCCTCTAATACACGCCTAGCCTCAATTACATGCCATCCTCTAATAAGGGCCTTGTCTATTACATAGAACTGACAATAAACGCCTCCCTTTTTGCAAACGAGCATGCCAATAGGGCATTTTATATGAAAAATTACAGGAAAATAAGACAATATAGTAATTGACTTCTTCATACAAGATACAGCTGTTTCGAAGTTGCTTTGTTTTTACATGTCAAGCCTTGCATGAGAACTTAAGAATTTCATTCCATAATAGACGCCTCCCTCCAATACACGCCGCACCAAGCCCGTTGAAAAGTTAATAAACTTTGCGGCGTACGTATGTTAGACAAAATACGGTATACGTATGCACAGAAAAATAAATTCTACTAGAACGTAAAAGTCAAAGACTGCTGACAATAATTGCATGCAATACTTACCTGACAGCGGCAATCATCACAGTTTTACAATTGCCTCCAAGTGAATCTTTCAAAATTCTTGTCAACTTACTATCGCGATAAGGAATGTGGGCGTTTTCTAAAAAGTATATCTCACATAAAACGTGGAAAAATTGAAGGTGCCATATTTTGAATTTAAAAGAAAAACTATAAGATCCTGTTAAAATCTTAACGTGAGATTTCAAAATCTTATGCGTACGAAGTGCTTTGATAAAATCTTAATTCAAATTTAAGATTTGTACTACGTAATTTAAGATCCTGTAAATCTGAATAGGAAGGTGCTAGACACTTGGCCTAAAGTTTTAACACAAGAGTTCCTGGTCACTGCAATATAAAAAGGCATTTGGTCTACTTTATTTTTACAAAAGCGTTTTATACAAAACCTTGTTCTCAGCTAAAGCATTGATGCAGTTTCCAAGAGCCAACAATGACTTATTGATGTTTGCTCCTTCGCGCATGCGTGGTCCTTTATTCTTGGTAACAGTCGCCCTTTCTGAACCAGCCAAATCAATAAGAGACATCTTTGCAACCTGAAAATCGGCTTTCAAACCAGACCCAGTCCTTTTCTGCCTCACAAACACTTGAAAAACCGCGTGAGACCTAGAGGAGGTGGCGTTGGCGTCCGTCGGATGTTGACTTCGATTTCTGTTTCCAAACTCCAACATACCAAATAATTCTTCGGCGCTTCTTGGCTATAGTTACAAAAAACGGGTTTTTGTCGATAGTGAAAATTTGTGAGGTGAGGTGCGACGAAATTTAAAAGTTGTTATAAAAAAATTCTACACAGGTTCATTGTCAATAAAGGAACCACTAAGAAGACGTTCAGTAGTTTGGAAAACATAAGTCACAAATTAAAGAAACGTATATTTCATAAATTCATAACATACGGTACCGCTCGCGTATTTGTTAACATAATTTTGTGTATGATACGCGTATCGTTCTCGTACCATACGCGTATCGTTCTATTTTATACGCGTATCGTTTTTTGAATCTCTGACAACGGCTGATATAGTCTGTCTGCTTACAGGACAATTGCCCGATGCTAATTCGCGTTAATAAACGTATATTCTGTTCGTATGAATCGAATCGTATTTTAATAGAAGCCACGTTTCGTCGCGAAAAGAAAAAAGGCCTATCATTCCCTTCCCATACACGTAACATTCTCGAATGGTTGTTTGGGGACGAGACAAACCTACTTAACTGCAAGTGATTAAACAGTTACATGAATTCAGAGTTAGTTAGTAGCCATGCTTGACTCTCGATGTTGGTAAAACTGAATTCATGGTAATCGACTCAAAACAAATACTAAATAGAAGAAAAGTTTATAAAATTAACATTAAAGTCGATAAAAACAGGTTTTAGAAAGTAAAACATTTGCTTTAAATGTTGATCAAAATTTATCCTGGAAAAGACCTTCTGTTGAATAATAGTGGAATAACATAGAATTCCATACCAGGTAATACCTGTATGCAATATTAGTAGGCAATACCAGAAAAATGAATTTGTTAACCATGTGAAAGCAAAATTGCTGCTCATTATGATGAACAAAGTTCTCGTAAGTATCACAGCGTTTCATCTTTGTATCACACGCGTATCGTTCTCGTATCATACGCGTATCGTTCTCGCATCACATACGTATCGTTCTCGCATCACATGCGTATCGTTCTCGCATCACATGCGTATCGTTCTCGTATCATACACGTATGTTTTTCGTATCATATGCGTTTCATACGCGTACCGTATGTTAACAAACACGCAAGCATTTTGATTTCTAGCAGCAGGCAATTCATTTAGAGCGAGCATTGAGTAAATTTAAGCCACACAGATCGCGGGCTCTTGTCCACAGCATGCTTTAAAATGTGCTTTAAACTTAAAATCATGCTGCCACAATTGCTGTAGCTGTATTGCTATATTAAAACACGAGACTTGGTGGCATACGTAATTTGAGCAGACTTCTCATCAAGAGCCGCTTCTGATTTTAATAATTATTTACGTACGTAGACAAGAAAGAATAAGAATGACATCATCCCTAAACGGGGAAATGATGTCAATCATGAAGTACACAGTACTTAATCGCTATTTGCTACTTCACACAGTACTTTTCTGTAAATTTATGCCGTTCATAATAATTGCATTTGACGAATGCAATAAATTAATTTCTTTGTAGCTATGTTTATGCATTCGCAATAATCATTTCATCCCTCAAAAAGTTTCTTGTGGAGTCAAAAAAATCACGTATGGAGGATTACATGACAGTTAAAGACAAAATCATGAAGTTAATTGCATGAAAAACAAATATATCGTAAGTTGGATGGGCCAGTTGCCATTAAATAGCCTGAATTGTGCAAATAAAGGAGAGTGAGGATATTTGAAATGTTTCATAATGTATGTATAAATTATTGTAATGTATGTATAAATTATGTATGTATAAATTATTCAATATAAACTGAAATAGACTTTCTTGTGATTATATATTTAAAAGTCGTTTTAAAAAGAGCAAATACCACGGTGAATGGTCAAATTAATAATGTAATAGTTCTAGTTTTAAACAGTTCTGTTAAGAACTATCGCATTATTACGTATTTTGACCATTCACCGTAATATTTGCTCTTTTTAAAACAATTTTTATATAAACTACCTGATGGAGTGTGAGATTATTCACGCAAACCCCTTTTTGTGGATCTTCTCTTATTGCAAGATCTTTACCAGGCATTAACAAATCTCTGATTGTTTCATTGTAGACCTGCAAACAGGCAAGATAAAAATGAATATAAAGCAAACATTCACACGAATAATAACTAGGTTATTCAATTCAAACTTTATCGACAAATATTAATAAGCAAATAATGCTGATGATCTAAAATTAACATAGCAGAGACAAACTTGCAGAAGTATTTAAAAGCAGTACTTAAGAACTGCGAAAGCAAATTAATATAATCCCACAGTTTTCATGCACCATTTCCCTTCAATTTAAAGCACTGGAAGATATTTCTTATATTGTTCAATTGTATATTGTTTTAATTTAAAAAGTATGAGAAATGTAAGACATGTAATTGTAACATTCCTGAAATAAGCAACTTAGATGATCTTATAGGATCTTGTAGGATACAATGGCAAGATCATATGAAAGATCCTAATAGGATCCTGTACAGGATCTTAGTTAAGATTTCTACCAGGGTCTTCAGTCTTTCTATTATCATTTTTATGTCAAATACATTTAATTAGCGAATTCCCACATGGCGTCGGGAACTTCTTGGTATAGTAGAACAATCAACTTTTTATGATACACTGAATGAAACTTTGGCCTCAGTAAAATCAGATTACTTCCCAAGAGAAGAGTTTATTATGTTCAAAACAGCTACTAAAAGACTCGATAAGAATCAAAGGTGGTGAGGCAAATAAATCTTAATGTCGTATCACATGACTTTCATTATTTCATATGTATAGGCATACATAGTAGTGGCATCCATTTATGAAGACTAATGACCAGCTAATGTATTACCATTGTTCGTTTATCATTCATATTCTGCATATAGCTAGATTTTGTAGATTTTTAAATGTATGAGAGGCAACTATACATGAGTTAGTAGTATCCCTTATCTCAAAAGTATAGCGAAACCTTTCATAAAAGCAGCAATAATTTTGATTGTAGTTGTATTGTTATTGTACTTAGTATATTGTTATTGAGTTAAGTATGTAGCTGGTGTTCATCCGTAATTATATAGTGACTATTTGGTGTGATGATTAGGGTACCTATAAGCAAAAACAGTCTTAAGGCCTGGTGTGCTTTTCTTAATAACATCAGGGTTTGTACAAAACTTATCTGAAATATTTTACTGTGTATTTTGTTTTTCTGAATATAATTACAATAATAACTATTTACTATTAAAAAACGATGACTTTATGCAACACACGAAGCAGTTTTCATCCCAGTTTATGAGTTATCATGTGTGCTGTTAAAAGTAGGTTACGAGCAAGATCAATTTATCTTTTATAACAAGAGAAATGTTGTCTAAAGGTGTTGTATTTATAGCTCACGTAAGTTGACCACAAGTAACAAATGGTTGTTTATAAATCGTCAAGCTGTCATTAAATTGATTAGTAAATCTTATTTACCAAATTTTACCTCAAGGTAGGACACAGCTACTTCACATGTTTTCTCATTTTTCATTTCATCAATTCTTTTGTACAAATCCATCATAGTTAAAAACATGACTCCAGGAGTTTTATCATTACCAAGCATTGTGTGAGTTTTGCCAGCTCCCGTAGCACCATATGCAAACACAGTACAATTGTATCCATTAAGAACTCCGTCGATTATCGTCTTTGTCGTATGATTGAATATTTCTTCATTGTTCGATCTCTCATCGAAGACACGATCAAATATAAACCGCAAGTCTTTCACCCTCTTTTCAAGAATATTACTTCGCCGACGTGTTCTCGCATTTGGTATAAAACTGCTCGCATCGTAGTCTTCGTGAGGATCGAAAACCACAACACGGTCGTCCATAGGACGAACAACATTTGTATGATTCCCAACTAACTCCATCGAGTTCAATGGTCGCACTCGCACAACAACTTTGACATTACTGCTTTTACCAATTTCATTCGTAGCATTAGACAGTTTACGCTTTCTACTGGGACACATATTTGAACCTTTACTAACCATCTTTATCGATTCTTTATTTTTTCGCGACAGGTTGTATAAATATTTCAGGAATTTCGTTTTCACGTTAATCGAACTGATGGCACGACACAATTAAAATTTTGAAAGAAACGGCTCTTGGCGAAGAGCGCTTTGATTGGCCAAAATTAAAGTCGCAAAATGATGTATTTTTTGAATACTTGATATAAGTACGAACGAAAAGGATTTAGTCTTTTGGCGAAAAAGGGGACATCTTGACAACTTGGCGATTTTATCCTGAGTTCATTCCTTTATCACAACTCCTTTAGATAGTTTAAGAACATTTTCACGCCATGTATTTCATATGACGAAAATTTTATCTTTATTTGGTCTGTTAGGGACTCCACAATGGATATGACGTAAATGGAAATCATATTTGCAAGATAAAGCTTTTATTACACAAGCTATAACAAAAAAAGTATTGCAAATCTTCTTAAAAAACAGCAATAAAAATTCAATTGGTACATATGTGTGTAATTTGATGACATCATCTGACTCTGAGCAAATAATCAAAATAAAATTGTTAGGGCGCTATTTTTTACGAGTCGGTGCACTCACTTCTGCCTGAAACTTCCTGAAATAAACTGCAAACAATGTGTGGTGGTCAAAAGAATTTTTAAACTTATGAGATAATTAGTGAAATATAGATTTCTTGCCGATAGCATTTTGCAATATTGACATAAGAATTAGCAAATGAACATTAGAAAAAGAGAAGAGTAACTAAATCGCAAGGGCGGTGGAACATCGATAATTGGGAGGGGGGTAGTATTTAAATATGCATGTTGTAATTTATTGCTTTCTATCGAAATCAATTGTGTTTACGGATTATTTCATATGAATATTTGAATACAGCCCCATCCCCCCAATTATCAATGTCCCCCCGTCCTTGCATGCTAATTCGCACTACAACATTAAGAAACGAGGAGGGTACCTCGCACTACAACATTAAGAAAAGAGGAAGGTACCTCTTACTAAAACATTAAGAAAAGAGGAAAGTACCTCGCACTACAACATTAAGAAAAGAGGAAAGTACCTCGCACTTCAATATTAGGAAAAGAGGAAAGTACCTCGCACCACAACATTAGGAAAAGAGTACCTCGCACTACAACATCAAGAAAAGAGTAAAATACCTCGCACTACAACATTAGGAAAAGAGGAAAGTACCTCGCACTACAACATTAAGAAAAGAGAAAAGTACCTCGCACTACAACATTAAAAAAAGAGGAAGGTACCTCACACTACAACATTAAGAAAAGAAAAAGTACCTCCACTACAACATTAGGAAAAGAGAAAAGTACCTCACTACAACATTAAGAAAAGAAAACTACCTCGCACCACAACATTAAAAAAAGAGGAAGGTACCTCGCACTACAATATTAGGAAAAGAGGAAAGTACCTCGCACCACAACATTAAGAAAAGAGAAAAGTACCTCCCACTACAACATTAAGAAAATAGGAAGGTACCTCACACTACAACATTAGGAAAAGAGGAAAGTACCTCGCACTGCAACATTAAGAAAAGAGAAAACTACCTCGCACTACAACATTAAGAAAAGAGGAAGGTACCTCACACTACAACAATAAAAAAAGAGGATGATACCTCGCACTACAACATTACAAGAGAAACAAGTTACTTGTGAGACGTATGTAAGAGAGGCGGAGTTTATCATCACAGTAGTACAACACCTTCTACCCATTTGTACAGTAGTGTAACACCTTCGAACCATATGTACCGTAGTGTAACGCCTGCTACTCATTCTTATTATTGTGGGATTTGTACAGTAAAGTAACACCTTCTACCCATTTGTACAGTAGTGTAACACCTTCCAACCATATGTACCGTAGTGTAACACCTTCTACCCATACTTATCATTGCGGGAGTTTTAATTGTTATTATACATCAAACAAGATTTTTAATAAATCTTGAGACTTTATTTCGTTTTTATTAAATCTGTTGTGATTATTAGTGTAATTTAAATCGAGTGTCAGTAGACATGGCTGTGCAGGATGAGTGTAAACTCCAATAGTGCAATAGGAACTACACCCCTCAATTGCAAATCGAAACAAAAAACAGGTAAAGATCACGTAAAAATCAGGTGAAAATAAAGTGATTGACTATTGCAATACTGATATAAACATAATATTTATCATCAACTTAGATAATTCGATAAAAAACGTGCGGTACGATAACGAGTACGACTTTTTTTTGCTTTCCTCAAAATCAGTTTATCTTACAGATGCAAGTTTGTAGAGTGATCAGTGATTCCAAAGGTGACTTTATAGGAAATTTACGTAACTTTAAACTGCTGCGCATGCGTTTGTTGCTATTCTTGTTGTAACAGGTATGACAAAGCACATTTTTGATGCTAGTTAAAAATCATTATGCAAAATTACCTTTAATAAAAAAATACGCAAAGAAAGAAGAGTTACATTACAACACTGACAGTGATATGTTATACTTTGCTCTATGTTTACTCGTGCAGTATAAAATACATAAAAAATTAATACTTTGTAGAATGTAGACACAGAGTAAACAAAACATTCAATCATTTCTACGTTTCGACTTTCGATGACTACACCTAAGTCATCTCAGTGTTAAAAGTAAATATTTCTTTTCCAGACTGTTTTCTATGGGAGTATCTATAACTGTTATACGTCATGCTTGTATGCTGTTATACGTCATGCTTGTAGTGAATGCAGAGGTAGCACCAAGAATTTCCCGATGTAGGGGCTAGCTAAGTTCTGCCACAAGGGAACTGACTTGCATGGCTCATTTGACCACGCGCAAAGTTGTTGCTTTGAAATTATCAATCCTTGATTAAAGGATATCAGTAAAGCATAGTTGGTCGGGAAATAATACTTTACATCAATAAAATTTATCAACATGGTGTACATGAGGTAATAGATTATCTGTAGCACGTTAGAACGTACGAGATGGGGAGTAAGGGTGTGCAACTGTCCCCTAAAATTTAAAAACTTTGCAAAACTTGGGCAAAATAGTCGAAGAAATAAGGAAGCTGGGAAATTGTTTATAAAGTCATGTATTTCTTCATAAAACTAAATATTGCGTAAAGACGTATAAATCTGCATGTTTTTGTAAAGTACGAAGTTGGTATGGCAATTTGTCTTTCAATTTCACTTACAAATCGGTGGATATTAGTTTACACGACCAATTGATAATTTAAAATCTGTATGGGATTAAAAATTCCTACAATGGCTTTTAGATCGATTTGAAATTTGGGCAAGTAAACCACTACCCTCTCAAAACGTAAAGCTTCCGTAGGCTCATGGTTGTTAAGGCCGTAATCATTATTACCAATTTAAGACAGAAATTTCACTTGTTAAATTGTCGAGTGGCATATGGGGCTGCATATTCCTTGATTATGTAAACTAAAAATTATGATGGAATGAAATATTTTAAAACTGATCATTAATTTTTTAAAATTGAATGTTTGAAGTCATTACATGTTTCCCAAATTCACAAATGCATATCAGGAAAACAGTAAAATTTCAGGTAAATTTGGAAAATTCTTCAGGTAAATATTTGCTACACCCCCACAAACTGAAGGTCTTTGCGACGTCCCTGATTAAACGCCATAACTCCACAGATGAATTTCGTGTCTCATATTGATACAAAGCTGTTTATTTCTTATACAGTGGCCGTTACTGAAATGAAATAAAGACGACTTCAGTAGCTAGAGTCAAAACTTGCATAAATCTAAAAATCTAAACAGAGAAATATCATTATATGAAGTAAACGAACTGGACTTTCGGTTGATCAACGTAACGTCATGCCTACATCAAGCCTTTCTTTTTATCCAATGACAATGTCTTTACGACTGTTGATGGAATAATGATTAGCTTATATAAATAGAACGAAAACGTCATTTCATCAGCGAAGTTACAAAGAAATATAAACTGCCTTCTGACGATATGGCTTTTACACTCACGAAATCATTTCAACGACTTGGATATAGATCTGTTATAGATTGCAAAACGTGCTTTTATCCCGTTTTGGTAAGTCAATAAACGTCCAACATTGTATAGGTAACGACATGTAGTATGAGAAACATAATAGTTGATATAATGGTAAAGATTGATAATATGATATTCTCATCTTGTTTGAACTTACATACAGTTTTGTTTGCACGTGTCCCTTTTAGTAAAACTTTATTCATGTTGGAGATTTTGATTCAGCATTTAACAATGAACGAGTGAATTACACGAGGGAGTTAACTGTTTGGTCAAAATATGAAATATTTCACGCCTCTCATATTTATGGTTAGCTTTGTTTTTCTTGGGAACAATTTACTTATACCAAATGTTTCACGTATTTATATGCGTGAAAAAATTTTATGAAGTATTAAATAAATAATTTTTTCTTCTGTTATATATTCGCTAAACGGCTGAATGGATATGAAATGTCATAATTAAATCATTTCACGCTATTATTGAAAAGTTATCAATTGTTATTTAATTTCACGTTTATTTATACTATCCTAAACTATAGTATCACCTTTAACAGTAATATTTGTCTAGAAAAAGGCAATGTTTAGAGAAATTCGACAAAAGTCGCTTTCATGCATGTTCATAATATACTAATTTTACGTTGGCCGCTTTGTTATGCTTAAATTATATTATGGAAAATAGGTTTTATTACGTATGAAATTCTATCGTCAATTTTTCACATCAAGCTCGCGTCGAAATCCACCAAAATTCGTTAGCTGAATTCGTACACCGAAATTTTTTTTCAAAGGCTTTGTACATAAATGTAAACAATTACAATGATGATGAATGATGACATCAGCTTTAACTATAAGATGTATTACATGTAATTGTAATTTTTTATTACTTTGTAAATAACATATATATTTCAAAAGTATATCCAGTTACTCTTGTAAAGTTTAATTTTTATGTCATTCCCTATTTACAGAAAAATGGATTTTCCAGATATCTGACCACAACTGAAGACATAAAGGTAAACACTTATTTTTACTTCAATAGTCAAGCAACCTGTGTTTTTAATTGTACATGGTAAATGTTTTTCTACTTGTTCACTGAAAAAAACAATGAATGAAACAAAGTTTCCGAGGAAATAAATCATTATTTTGGTTATAATGTTGCATTGTTGAACTACTTAAAAATATGGCCTGGCTTTAACACTAATTTACATGTGATTTTATAATGTCAAGTTGAGAAGTCTGTGTGTATGAATTAAATGTACATATCAAAAAATTATCAGTTGCTGCAATCAGGGGCGAAACTAGAATGCTGGGTGCTGGGGGGGGGGGATATTTCATATATTCAGCTTCGCCCTGCTGATTTCTTTTCAAATTATAATTGCTCAAAAATAAAATAAGTCAAGCAGTGCGGAATATATCAGTATGAAACCCACAGACTTAACGTTCTAGTTTTGTCTTTGGCTGCAATAGAAGTTTAAATATACAAATCCCTAAAAAGGAAATGCACATTTGTATTCATTGATAGCAATGACAGCAAATTGTACCAATGAGCGTCTTTTTGTGATAGATAGTGTTACCCTTCTGGGAAATGTTGATAAAATGTTCCCTCTTTCTGTATAAACAAATTCGTTAGGCACGTTGAAGATCAGTAATTAAGTTTGGGCTATATTCATAGCCCAAAGACTTTGTCAGTTTCTATTAAAAATCAATTGTGATTATGAATTATAACATATTAATTTATCAAGCCTCCCAATTATCAATCTTTTGTTCTCCCTGATATTTTTTAAAGCAAATATTGATGTATGCAATGATACATAAAGTGGTGAAAACCATCAATATCACTTTTTATTACGTCATGTTCCAGCATTAATCACCAAGGTCACAAACCCTTCGATTAGAATGGAATTGACTGCTAAATGCAGTACATAAGTAAAGCTTCAAACTTCTTAATAATAAGTAACTATTTATATGCGATTTTACAAAATATTTAAGTATTTATCGAAATTACAACTTAAGAAAATTGTAATTATTTTTTTTAAAGCATAGCAATTTAAAAGTGACTAGATGTACAACGCCAAGTAAGAAACCATCCAACATTGGCAATATAGAGTTTGGGTCTGTGTTTACTGATCATATGTTGACTATACCGTGGACGGAAACTTATGGTTGGGGCGTACCTGAAATCAAACCTTATGGTAATTTATCATTAAATCCAGCTGCAAAAGTTTTACATTATGCTCTAGAGGTAATTATTTGTTTGTACATGTCATTAGACAGAATGCATATGACCCTTTATCACTTTGTCATACATGGTTGGCAGTTTGCATTGAACAGTTAATGTATTATTGACGGTACATCCTTAACCATGCCATTGAACAGTTGATGTATTATTGATGGTACATCCTTAACCATGCCATTGAACAGTTGATGTATTATTGACAGTACATCCTTAACCATGCCATTGAACAGTTGATGTATTATTGACAGTACATCCTTAACCATGCCATTGAACAGTTGATGTATTATTGACAGTACATCCTTAACCATGCCATTGAACAGTTGATGTATTATTGACAGTACATCCTTAACCATGCCATTGAACAGTTGATGTATTATTGACGGTACATCCTTAACCATGCCCTAGAATGTTAATTTGGAGTGGGGTGGTGATATTCATACATTCGGTTGCTCCTGCTTGATTTCTTATTAAAGTGTGTTTTTTAATGTAAATCCTCAAGAGAATTCCTTTCTAAAGAAATCAGTTTGGCACAACTGAATATATGAATGACCAACCTCTAATTAATCTGCTAGATATGGATACTTCTGTGACATTACCATGAATTTTTCACACATGTGTGACATAAATATAAGAATGTTGTATGTCAATGTAGCTTATAGTTTTTTTGTTTGTGCTTGTAAAATTTATGCGTAATTTGTTATTGTTTAATAATATTTGTAATTTTGTATAAAAATTATATTTACCTTTTTTTGTGTCTGCACATGCGCAGATATACGTATTGTATCACGTCTGTTACCGTAAACGCTCGCTTTAGCATCGCGGCGCGTATGCGAAAGCGGTACTTTTGTGGTAGCGGTACTTATATAATATTATTATTGCTCCAAGAAAATAGCGAGTTGACAAAATACAAAATCTGTTTTCATGATAAAATATTATGTAACTTGATGAAAATAGTGTTACATACGCGCAGAACAAGGATGTCCTGAACTGTAAAGGTTAATAACTTATATTTCTTCCGAGCGCCGCTCTAAAGTTACTCAGATGCGGTGAGTGACCGGAAATGGCGCTAAATAACTTTTCTGGATTCCGAGAAAGGCGCTTAAACTTCTCCGTGCGTGAGTCACGCGTGACATTGCTATCGTCTTTCCCCGCCAGTTCGCTGGCTTGATTATTTTCAAAACAAGCTGGTTTCTTCTCTGAGGAAAGTATTTGGAAAATCACGCTGTAGCTAGCGCCGCCTACGAATTAATTACAAACGCAATGGTACATTTGATTTTTAATCAATTTAAAACTTAAACTGGCTCAATAGCGAGGATCTTTCCTGCACGTGTAAAAAGAATCGATAACAGCAGCCATCCATCCACATCAATTCATTTTACCGAGGGTACCGTCGTTGACAGTTTAGTAATTTAAGTACCATATTCGTGTTTGTTTAAAAGACATATTTCTCAAATGCCTAAGTTTTATAGTTAGATGATTTGTCAAACTCCAGTGCCATTTGTTTGACAGCATTACAAGCGGAACGGACGCAAAAATTATAGACAAACTCTAATAGCATTTTTTAAAGAACTTCAATGCTTACTTTTTTTCTTACTTAAATTTTCTGTATCTTTAAAATGTTGTTATCGGTTGTCAAATGTATTAAAGAAAACAATATCGAAAGTATTTTAGTCTTATTGCAGTGTTTTAATCATAATTGTGTAGACGTTTATTAAGTGTTTTACAAATATTAGTTATTATTCATTATAATGACAGTTAGAGGAAATTGTTCTTTATTTAAGATTCATTTAGCAGCTAATAACCGACATAATACAACTTAAAACATCTTGTAAGTTGCTATTAGAGCTAAAAATCTGACACACATTTTAACGCAAAATTACGATTGAAGTAATTTCAAAGATGAAATTCGCGACTCAACGAGTTTTCTTTAACTATAAAATGCTATATAATTAATTTTACATCAAGGAACATCTACGCATCATACGCAAGCGCAGATACATGTACGCAATGTGCACCTATTTTTATTGTATTGAAAAGGGATGACTCATCATAACACAAGCTTCCCACTTCATAAATATGAAAAGTATTCAGTTATACTAAATCATTTCCCCAGCCACACGTGAAAGTATATTATATTTTTCTATGTAGGGTTTTGAGGGCATGAAAGCATATTTTGGCTCATATGATGGCCAGATAAGATTATTTCGACCCATGGAGAATGTGAAGAGGTTACAAAGAACAGCAGAAAGACTGTGTCTACCTGTAAGTATGAAATGTATCATGAAATGTAAAATACAAATTTCACCACTTTTGAAAACATGCCATTGTTTGAGTTTAACTTACTGATGAAAAATATACCGCGTAAAGTTGTCAATAGGGAGCTTTCGCGAAGACTGCGTGTGCGAATGACGTCATTTTGGCGCGAAAACATTGTTGTGACAGCAACAACTCGTCATCAATTTGAGTCGATGTTTTGTAAAAAATTTATAGTCGCGACTACGGTGTTTTTTAAAGCAAAGAAAGTAGATATATTTTTTCATTGTGTAAGAAATTATTTGACAATACTATTTTCGACCTTCCAGGCTTTAGGTCAGAACCTTTTTTGAACGCAGATGCACATTTAAAACGAAAATATGACATTCAAAACTACTATGTGTATCTCGTACGCAAAGTGAATTGTAAGCACAAATACTTCAAATATATAATCCATAAAATGTAAAACAGTCAAGATTAATCGATATTTTGAGAAATAGAGCTATTGCTGCTTCTCAAAATGCTATGTTTTTCTCAGTAAAAAAGTTTGTTCTGTTGGTTACAACTAAAACAACATTTTGACGAAGCGACTACGACAACAAATCTTCTCGTGCCATTCCCTTACACGGTCAGACTTCGTACTTGTAGTCAAACTCTTGCTGAATATCGCTATTGTCTTATAGAAAGTTTTCAATGTTTTTGAAAGTAAATATACAGTACTGGGGCCTTTTGCACGAAGGCTGGATAGCGTTATCTCTTGGATTGCAATTTAAACTTTTATAAAACCTTTTAAAAAGCAAAAAGTATAAGATTCCAACTGAACAATCACTGAATAAAACATTGTTTTGAAGATTGCGAAATTTCTTTGTCGTTAGAAAAATATAAACACCTTTTTTACATGTTTGAAAATTTTTGCTATCCACTTGTAAAGGGCCATCCAGGCTTTGTGCAACCGCCTCTGAATGTTTGCTGTACGTACCTTGCACTGCATGGTGGCTGTTTTATGCAAGTATGTATTTCGAAATGTCAGTTAGCGCTCCCATTAATTAAACCTTAAGTTATGGGCATAGTGTTGTTGTGAAGACTTCAGAACTTTGTGCTATAAAGTGTTGTCTACACTAACAGTTTTTATATACACCACGCACGTGTTATGCATAAGAAAGCTCCAACCTACCGTGATGTCATTGTTTGATTGATTTGCATTTTAGGGAACCTCCACTGTTTACTGTACTATAAATGTTTGATTGATAATTCATGTTAAGAGCTTTGATGGCGAGGAATTTCTAAAATGCATCGTCGAGTTGGTAAAACTCGATAAAGACTGGGTTCCAAAAGAAGAAAACTGTTCCATGTACATAAGACCAACATTTATTGGAACTGGGGTAAGTTATGTTTTTCTTGTTATATTTTGCCGTCAAAATTTATAGTAAACAAATGGTCTAACAAAATATGTACAATCTTTAAAGTAACTCACGAGCGCTTGTTTTGCCCTAGTTGCACGAGAAACCACCATTTATTGTTGCACAAGACACTACTATTTCTTGCTAATATAATTTGTCTCGAGACATTTTGTAAAACGCCGTCTACTTGCTTTGTAACTCGATAATGTCGGAAGGTTGCGCGTGCTTACTTTTATTAACACTCACCGCAAAATTGCCCTTGCTGTTGTGTTTGTGTTGATGTGCGTTTTCGGAATTTGTTTTATTTTGTTTTACTGTTGTGTTTTTATTCTCTGCATGTTTTGCACATTTATTTAGCGCAAACGAGGAGCTCTGTATCTTTCCAATAACTTCCTTATTATTTTTTTAACAACGAGAAACGATTAATTACTTTTGAAATTATAATTTCAAATCAAAATCGGAGTTTCCACTATTGGGAACTGGGTGCAGTCAGGAAATTAGAACTCATTGCATTGTCTAAGTAAACAGAAAAAAAGCAGCTAGTTTTTCTATGTTCTGGATTTTCTACTTCTGTGTTTTGTCGTCATGTTTATCGTGCGCTTAGATCTTCAATGATTGTATTTATTTCCAAATGGTGGAAAAATTAAACTTTGATTGGCAATATCGTTGTTTGCTGATACTTAACATTGTTACTAGTTCCACAACATTGTTACTAGATCACATTCGCGTATGATACGAGAACGATACGCGTATGATACGAGAACGATACGCGTACGATACGAGAACGATACGCGTATGATACGAGAACGATACGCGTTTGATACGAGAAGATACGCGTATGATACGAGAACGATACGCGTATGATACGAGAGCGATACGCGTATGATACGAGAACGATACGCGTATGATACGAGAACGATACGCGTTTGATACGAGAAGATACGCGTATGATACGAGAACGATACGCGTATGATACGAGAACGATACGCGTTTGATACGAGAAGATACGCGTATGATACGAGAGCGATACGCGTATGATACGAGAACGATACGCGTATGATACGAGAACGATACGCGTATGATACGAGAACGATACGCGTATGATACGAGAGCGATACGCGTATGATACGAGAACGATACGCGTATGATACGAGAACGATACGCGTATGATACGAGAACGATACGCGTTTGATACGAGAAGATACGCGTATGATACGAGAACGATATGCGTTTGATACGAGAAGATACGCGTATGATACGAGAACGATACGCCTTTGATACGAGAAGATACGCGTATGATACGAGAACGATATGCGTTTGATACGAGAACGATACGCGTTTGATATGAGAAGATACGCGTATGATACGAGAACGATACGCGTATGATACGAGGACGATACGCGTTTGATACGAGAAGATACGCGTTTGATACGAGAACGATACGCGTATGATACTAGAGCGATACGCGTATGATACGAGAACGATACGCGTATGATACGAGAACGATACGCGTTTGATACGAGAAGATACGCGTATGATACGAGAACAATACGCGTATGATACGAGAGCGATACGCGTATGATACGAGAACGATACGCGTATGATACGAGAACGATACGCGTATGATACGAGAACGATACGCGTTTGATACGAGAAGATACGCGTATGATACGAGAACGATACGCGTATGATACGAAAACGATACGCGTTTGATACGAGAAGATACGCGTATGATTCGAGAACGATACGCGTATGATACGAGAAGATACGCGTATGATACGAGAACGATACGCGTTTGATATGAGAAGATACGCGTATGATACGAGAACGATACGCGTATGATACGAGAACGATACGCGTTTGATACGAGAATGATACGCGTTTGATACGAAGATACGCGTTTGATACGAGAACGATACGCGTATGATACGAGAACGATACGCGTATGATACGAGAATGATACGCGTTTGATACGAGAAGATACGCGTTTGATACGAGAACGATACGCGTATGATACGAGAGCGATACGCGTATGATACGAGAACGATACGCGTATGATACGAGAACGATACGCGTATGATACGAGAACGATACGCGTTTGATACGAGAAGATACGCGTATGATACGAGAACGATACGCGTATGATACGAAAACGATACGCGTTTGATACGAGAAGATACGCGTATGATTCGAGAACGATACGCGTATGATACGAGAACGATACGCGTATGATACGAGAACGATACGCGTATGATACGAGAATGATACGCGTTTGATACGAGAAGATACGCGTTTGATACGGAACGATACGCGTATGATACGAGCGATACGCGTATGATACGAGAACGATACGCGTATGATACGAGAACGATACGCGTATGATACGAGAACGATACGCGTTTGATACGAGAAGATACGCGTATGATACGAGAACGATACGCGTATGATACGAAAACGATACGCGTTTGATACGAGAAGATACGCGTATGATTCGAGAACGATACGCGTATGATACGAGAAGATACGCGTATGATACGAGAACGATACGCGTTTGATATGAGAAGATACGCGTATGATACGAGAACGATACGCGTATGATACGAGAACGATACGCGTTTGATACGAGAATGATACGCGTTTGATACGAGAAGATACGCGTTTGATACGAGAACGATACGCGTATGATACGAGAACGATACGCGTATGATACGAGAATGATACGCGTTTGATACGAGAAGATACGCGTTTGATACGAGAACGATACGCGTATGATACGAGAGCGATACGCGTATGATACGAGAACGATACGCGTATGATACTAGAACGATACGCGTATGATATGAGAACGATACGCGTATCATACGCAAAATTTTGTTAACAAATACGAGAGCGGTACTGTAAATTGTTTTGTCAATGATTATTTTGAGCGGAAGGCCTGTTTTGAAGGACTTTTAACAACAGTTTTTTCAATCGTAAAACATCTCGCATTTTTAAAATTTTCATTACCAGCTTTACTAGAGAAAGTTAAAGATAACTTTTTCCAACAGTCTACTTTTTTTCATACGCCCTATATATTTAACATAAAATAGTTATGCTCAATTTTCTTTAAATCAAACTTTTTTTCCTAAATTTTTATTTGCTACCTATTTTTGAAAGCTTGAATACTTTTAATTTTAGCCAACACTTGGTGTTAACAAACCAAAAGAAGCGTTGCTATACTGCATTTTATCTCCTGTTGGTCCATATTTCAAAACAGGCTCGTTTAATCCAGTCACTTTAATGGCCGATGCGAAATACGTTCGTTCTTGGCATGGTGGCTGTGGAGACTGCAAGATGGGAGGGTAAGATTCAGACAACAAGATGGGTTTGTGAAATAGAGACAGTAATATGGTGTTTTAAGTCAACTGGATGAGTGGGTGAAAAGAAGGGTTGTTATGACTGCTAGTAGGATATAAATCCTCAAATCATAATGAAAGAGTCACAGCTACACAAGCACAATGTTTTAAAGTACGCTCCACTTTTGGTCTAGTCCACTGCTCATGCTCAAACGTTTCGCCGATAATATGTTACTTATTGAAGTATTTACTTTAATTGCTGCTGGTAGATCTTGTCATTGCCATGACTATGAGCTCGGGCAAATAGCTGAGTCGACTGCGCATGCACTGATGATTTCGCTATTTTTTGAGTAACCCAGCTAGCTACTTCGAATTCGGTGCAAGTAGATCTAGTTCATTAGTATTAGTTAGTCATATGGACTGTTTTCATTGCAACATATTGGCACGTGTTTTTCAATTTTTTGGCACGTGTCAAAAATGTATCTTCAATGTCGTCACTTTAAAGTGCCTACATCACCCATTGGGAAATAATGTATTTAGATTGAGTTGACTATTTGGAGAACATTTGCAATATATTTTATATGAGGAAAGTTTAATCTTTCTTGACTGTTTGTCCTCAAAATTGGCTTTTTTCGTGTTTGCCGGTGAGGTGCTGTGACTGGGTCTTGTTTACCTGACGTGACGTACAATGGAGAACACGCTGCTTTTTAACGCTGTAATTCAATATGAATTGTAATAAACTTGAGTTGTATTGCGTATTTTGTTATTGAATCAAGTTGTAATTGATAGTTAAGGTCCTCAAAAGAACCAGTTCACGCATAATTTCATGTAAGCTTCGGGATGAAATGCTATAAGGAAAAGTGCTACAATAATAGCGTTCGTTCAATTGTTGTACTTTTAAATTAAATAAAAATTTTCGACTGCCTTTTTTGACTCTTAAGGTTTCGTGACATACATTGACACAATGTAACCGGACAAAGGACGAAATTCTTAAAATATACCTCAGTCACTGTGTATACATCTTATTAATTTCAAGTATATTTATGCATAATAAACTTGTCAATAGAGTTGCTAATGATTAGTAATTTGTGTGTCCTCTTAAAACAAAGTCGTTTTCGAATTTTCATGAAGGAGTTGTACACTTAGCTAAAATCACTAACTACTTATTCTAAGCACATATGTTCACTCTACAATTTTTTTGAGTTGTACGTCGATTTACGTTTTTTTTAACTCAATTGCCTCACAAATTTTTCGTTTTTTGCCTCATTTATCGTTACCATTTCAAAATGTTGTGGCGTTGGGGGATGTACATGCATATAAATTTGTGTCTAAACAAGGCGTAAGAAAGTTTTAGGAAGATTGCAGAAGTATGTTTCGCAAGTCTTGTCAGTTCGATGATGAAGTGTGTGAAAAGTAAATGGTTTGAACCGGGAGTATCGTTACATGTTTGTAAATGTAGATCGTCCAGGTTGGTATAGTCCTGAGAAGGACTGGTTTGTTGTTGCTGACTGACGTTTCGACAACCTTAGCGGTAGTCATCTTCAGAGTCAAACCTGGACGATCTGCATTTACAAACATGAAGTGTGTGAACTTGTGACAAGTCTGGTGGGTTGGTGAGTTTATGAATTTAAGCGTATAAAAGCCGAGTAAGGAGCAATGTTTGTATGAACGAATGTTAATCAATGTTGCTTTGTCATTCCTTGGTTTGTTGGGCTGTTGTTGCTCGAAACTATATCATAATCAATTAAATAAAAAGGTATCAAATATTTGCTTTTTATTCGTCTTAGAAATTATGCTCCGTCGTTATACGTCCAAGACAAAGCACATAAGAAAAAATGTGAGCAGGTTCTCTGGCTTTATGGTGAAGATGAACAAGTATGTTTTCTTGACCTTAATTCACATTCTTAAATTATACTTGTGTTATGTTTCGAAACGTTAAACTCGTTTTATCTTCTCTTTCGTCATCCACTTACCTCATCTTTCACTGATCTCATCTTTCATTTAACCGACCTTTTATCTCGTTCGTAATGATTGCTATGCACTGTTCGTTGTTTTGACGTGTGATTGCCTTTTGATTGATGCAGTTGTCTGATTAATACTATTTTCCTTAAACACGATGAATTTTTTTTTTACTTTTTTTTCTATAGATAACTGAAGTTGGCACCATGAATATATTTCTTTTATTGAAAATGAAAATGGCGGTAAGCTTTCTTGCTCCTGACAATGAAACTTATAAACTTATGATAAGACGCAATAAAGTGATAAAAACTTAACACAGTAAGTTTTGTTGTTAAACAAAAATCGATCATTTCATTACTATTCAAGACTAACATACACTACCATGAATAAAGTCAAAGAAGCAGTAGAAATTGCCTTGGTGCAACATAACATTGCTTTTTAGTGCTTTTTTTTAAAAGCATGTTGAGTATTAGGGCAGCAGAAGTTGAACAAGGATCATGAGTCTAATTTAAACAGGCTTTATGAGTCAAAAACGTACATCTTTATTTTTATTAATTATTCTATCCCTTCTTCATATCAGAATTAAAAAAAGTAAAAGTTGGGGTGAAATATCTTTTAATGAACAAGTTTTACGGTGTTTATATGCACAATAGAAAAATGTGACTTGAACAAGATTTGAACTCGCACCTTCGGGTACTAGTCCAACGCTCTTCCTGTTGAGCTACATGCCCACAGGGATTGAAGAGGAGTAAAATGTCTTTTAAAGTTTATGTGGACGATATACTTATGCCACAATAGTAGTTTCAGGAGATCAAATCACGTTTAAATCACATGTTTTTCATGTGCGTATAGAGTCTGTGTCAGGATTCATATTAATGTGTTGTTTCTCTGATAGTGGCCATCTTAAAGCAGTTTTTGTCATTTTTTAAAATATGCAAGATGTACCATAACACCTATTTAGAAGATGAACTGATCTCTCCTCCTTTGGACGGTCTAATATTACCTGGAGTGACACGAAAGTCGATGATTGAACTGGCGCACAAGTGGGTACGACAAGGATTTAAATCTTTGAAACTTGGGCAATGTTATGCGAGAATATTTTTATCACTGTTTCCATTTTCGCATTACCCTTCTTTTCTGTTGAAGGAGGAAAAAATTTATAACTAAAGGGGAACGATTTTTTTGCTTTACCAAAAAATGTCAAATTTAAATCACGTGATAGACAACATTTTCTTGTGTTCGTGAGTTTGTAGTGAAGGAATGCAATGCAAATGTTAAATTTTAGGGTGAATTTAAAGTATCGGAAAGGCTATTTACGATGAAAGAATTGAAGAAATGTCTCAAGGAGAATAGAGTAGGAAATTATTGCAAATTTTTTTCTTTTTATGGTTTTTACTGTTTTCACTTAAGTTTTAAAATTGTTCTTTGAGAAATTGGTCTTAATTTCCCACTAATGTATTTGTTTTTCATTTGCATTTTCTCTCTTTAGTTCTTAACATCTTTTTATGTTTCTTGCAAATCGAGATAACTTTGCAGAGATTCTTGATAACTCTAGCAAATACTGGCCCCAATTTGAATACGCATAAGGGTCTCATCTTCTCCTGCTACGCCATGGGTCATAACATTCCTGCATTGCTGTAACTTAGTTTTTCCACTTTATGATTTGTGTATGATGACTTTTTAAAAATATTTTCTGCTCCAAGTGCTTTCCTTGAATTTAGAATGTTGCATAGAAAAATGTAAAATTTAAGTATTTAAATATGTTGATGCGTTGATTGTATGACGGAATGAAATTTTTGTTTGTTAAATTTATCCAATGGCACACTTTATTTTTAGGTGAAAGAAATATTTGGCGCTGGTACGGCTTGCGTCGTATGTCCTGTCAAAGATATACTTTATAAAGATGAGGTATAGTTACTGTTGGAACTGTTTACATACCTTCAAAACTGAATCTGTGTCTTTCAGTTGTGAATCCTGTCAGTGGCGGCGGAATATTGATAATTAGGAGGGGGCTATATTCATATATTCATATGTTATAATCCGTAAACACATATGATTTCAATAGAAACTAGTAAAGTAAAACATGCATATATGAATAGTACCCAAACTATCAATATTCCGCCGCCCTTAAATCCCGGATTAATAAAAATAAGTTGAAGTTGTTCAATTTTTAATTCAAAGTACCAACCACTCTATGGGCTGTAAGTTTTTTAAGAGAAAAATGCAACCAATGCGCTTGCCTCTGATGTACTTGGAAATGTAACAGCTTCGTACCCAGGCGCGATGCCCACACACGCCATATAACATGTTTAATTTCGAAAAATTGCACTTTCAAATCAGTCACTCGAAGTATTAAAAGAGCGTCAATTTGTTGAAAGCACCAAAGCACTTTGGTACTATAGGCTGGAAATGCTCTATGTGCAAAATGTGCTGCGGTTCTTTCTTTTGATGTACCCCATATTCGCCATTGTTTTGCTTAAACGACAACTAAACGTAAAAAATAAAACGACAACATCATCACAGCCATCTTGTCTTCATTTACGTAAACATTATATATTATATTTCATAAACTGATATCTGCATTGAATCTACTTTCTCGAATATATACGACTTATGATATTTTAATATAAACGGTAGAAGTGGTGCTAATAGTCCACAAACAGTAAACGGCTATATTGTCTGTCCCATTCAGTGTTTATGATTCAAATTAAAACAGCAAGGCAGCAGTTGTTCAAAACTGCGCCATTTTCAAATACTTAATCGATTAAACATTAAACAATTTATTCGACGTTCATTTGGGCTAAACGCTACCCTCTACCTAATTTTTTTCTGATATTTTTACACATCTCTTTGACATATGTGTTTCTTAGATGCTTCATATACCAACAATGGAAAATGGTCCAAAGATCGCCAGACGGTTTTACAAGGAACTTACTGATATTCAGGTAGGTGCTGCATGAATAATGTATTCATTCAACCCATATTTCGATCCTAATTTCTATGCTGTAAAATGCATACTCCATACTGTCCATTAATGAATCAATTTTTACATTTTTTTCAATCATGACTTGAAGACTAAAATGAGTTTACTGTTTATAAGTTGTTTTTTATTTCTTTCAGTATGGAAAAGTTTCCAGTCCATGGGCAAATGTTGTAAATGATTCATCTGATGAGAACGAAAATTTACAAGCTATGAGTCTAAATTAGTTGTTGTTTCTAGTTCATAGAAACCTTTTTCGTCATATGGACACTAAGAAGCTAAATATAACCCATTTGTAGAAAACCTCAATAATAAATATTTGATTGACAGAAAGAATTTATGCTCGTTACCTTTATTTGCTGAAATAAATTTTTCCTAAAATAATTATGCTAGTTGTAGCAAAGTCGGCTCGTGTTTTATTTTCCTATACAATGCAACTATTGCTTTCTTCATGTACAAATATTTTTGTATATGAAACAAAGACTTTGTCGTGGTGACAAACTTAAAGATGGATTTCAAAATAGCAAATATCATGGTGAATGGTGATAATAACAATATAATTGTTCTTAAAAGAACTGTTTTAACCAGAACACTAACCCAAAATTCAAAGGAACCGTTATTTACAGCTAGGAAGAGACACTATGCATTTCGGCAGACTACTCGTCAGGTGTCAACGTTTGCTAAATGAGAACCTCCAAATCATGCTATATTTATAATGTTACAAAAGGTCAATGTCATCCCTACTTTTAGAGATGACACTTAAAACAGAGACAGATTAAACACGTAATCCTTTTGTCGGCAAAGGACAGGATTAGTCAATTTAATTAATACCGACTCCATGACAAGTAGCTGGAATAACGAGCGACATTTTTTAATAATTTTAAAGTTTTCATCAGAATAAGCATTGGCACAGCGAGTGTTGCTTAAAAGATGTTTTCCAATCGCTGAATCATATAGAAAACATCTTTTAAGCAACACTCGCTGTGCCAATGCTTATTCTGATGAAAACTTTAAAATTATACGAACTGTTACAAACTATACAAACTTGTATAGAACTATGCATTTATTTTAAGTAAATTTTACCTCAGTATTACTTCCCAAAGTTGATATAGGTCGCAGCTAAAATTATTCATAAATTTTTTTTACCTGTAACAGGTTTAACAAGGAATAGCCAAATATCTTTGTAGCTGACTAAAGTTTTAAAAAGCAACATGCGCTAGACTTATACAAAATTAAATAAATTTGTGATAATTTCGGAGTTTCATTAGCTTTTGACGATATTTTCGCAATTAAGTTTTTTTGATGCTTTTAATAATCGATATCACTTGACTCCGCCAATTCGTAAACAGCCAGTTGTTATCAAAGTACTTAATTGCTTGTTTTAAACAAGCAATCTTATCTTAGGCTATGTCTCAGTGAATATTGTTCAGTATAATTTCGAACGGTTAATCACAAGTTAAGTTTAACAGTCCTGCGTTAAATAAAGTTTTTAAGAGCATATCTTTTAATTTTTAATGTGGAACCTATCATGCTAGAATAAACAATGTATTTAACGTAAGAAAATTATAATTTTAACTTAAGTTATTCTAAGAAAGCACTTTAAGGAACAAGCGTAATAAATAAATAATGATTTTGAAGACGAGTCAACGTTCCGCAAGATGATGTGTATAAAGAAATGCTTAAAAATTTTCGTAACAATTTTTGGTGGTTTGAATTTTTGTCAGATCGAATGCTTCTATTTTGTCTTTAAGTGGCTCAAATAAAATGAACCTAAGTGCCTTTCTAGCTTAATTTATGTATTAAAAAGTGACATACGCAATAAGTTAGCTACTTAAGAGAAACAGAGGTGTTAGATTTAGACATAATTTATTAAATTTACTATAACTTTGTTATCTCATTAGATATTGGCGTCAATTTAGTAATGAGAGTTATTTCACTTAAATATGTAATATAATTCGACGCCTTCTTTACATAAACAACGTGTTGTTATGACAATTTATATTTAGTAGTTTATGATGTCCATTGGATAAGAAATGTTTTTTATTTCGCAACGTTAAATGCAAATGCAAAAATTGTTTCCTCCCTTTGATTCATTTGTTAAAATCCACTTATCAGCAAAAACTTATTTCTAAAATATTAGAACAAGGTGTAATGTTTAATGTATCCGTGAAGAAAACGTTTTAATTTGTTCAAATCATCTTTTTGCTATGTCGGTTGTAAGTTGCCTTTAAATGGAACTGCTAGATTCCGATTCTAGCAGAATTATAATATCATCGAAGATATTTGGTACCTATATCTTCTATTGACAAGTGACATGCATGACGTCACAAAAGTAAGTTAATCAAGACTTTTCGAAACGACAGGCAACGTCCATTATCAGAAGCAATTTTGCCAACTTTGAACGGCGAAAAATATGGAACAAATGAATCAACATAAAAAAATTCCACTGATAGGTTAAAAATATTTTCTAAATTCAACATCACAAATAAAATGTTTTTGCCGTTCAATTCTCTGTCACATATTTGATCACTGTGTAAACATGTTTCTTGACAAAGTCTTTCAACCCAAATCACCTGTTCTTAATGTACTCAAGCAAATAAAGTATTTTGGCCTTCCATTTACTGGCTTACACTCATCCCAAATCCTCACAAAATCCACCCCTTGGTAGTGCCCTTTTCCCACACTGTGAAATACGATCCTTCTTTCGATCAACCAAACGCCTCTTCAGCCTGTTTCCGTTCAAGAACAAGGTGCCCAAAACTCTAAAATCAAATGTTGGCTATTCTTTCAAGTGTCGATGATGCTCCGCATCGTACTTGGGTCTTACCACCCGCCACCTACACACTCAAATTTCAGAGCATTCACTTAGCTAAGCTGTGTTTTTGACTGCAATGTTTATGTGAGGCAACATGTTTTTCAAAAACTGTATAAAGATGCTCTTGACGATTTTTATTTCTTTTGAATATTTTCGTCAAATCATGTGCTTCAATTTTTGCTTCGATTCTTCACACAAAGGTAAGACACGTTATGTAGAAAATACTATCTATAAATAGGGTTTGTCGTAAAATATTAAAAGTTTGCATTTAGCTAGAATCAATTGTTTTTTTTTTATCAAAACTATCTTTGAAATATTATTGTACATTTGTAGATCAGAGACTGGGGAGCAATATATACAAAAAAATTGATGTGAAAAATGAGATAGAATGCATCGTTTCCTGCGTTAAGGAACCATGTTGTCGATCTATAAACCACAGGAGAAGGTTAAGTCAGGGACGTTGGAGTCTTTGTGAAATGTTACATAGTGTTCTCAACAACAGCAATGAAAAAGATTTAAAACATAATCGATTTTATGATTACATTTTTCTCAATTCCCCTTTCAAGGTAAAAATAAGTTTTAAGTTAATACAAGAATAATTGTTTTGATAAAACTGATTTTTCTAGTTATATCAAATACGTATTTTTATATTTAGTTGTAAAGTATTAAACGATGTTTGTTATTTAAACACAAATTCCCTTCTCTTCATTTCAATTGTTAATTTCGTTTGTTTAGGAGTACAACAAAACATGCGAACTCCAATCGTGTAAGTTTAGATGGTTTTTTTATAGCTACTCAATGGTTTTTTTCATATTTATATAAATATAAAAAATTTCAATTCATTCTTAGCTTTTAACAAAATTTATGATTTGCTCTTTCCCAACGCACATGCTGAGAACATGATTCTAATGGATAATATGATGCCTAATATGTCAGAGATAACGTTGATGTTTTGGATAAAAATGAACTCGAGTCAACGAATGGCCCTGTTTTCTTACGCTATAGAAGATAGTCCTGATGAATTTTTTGTTGGCTTTGAAAAAAATTGGCTTATTATCAGAATGCAGTCCAAGGATATTTTGTAAGGGAGAGTTGTAACAATTTACTTTTTTGAAAGAATGTTATATGCAGTGCGGTGTTTGAAATTAAACGAAGATATGATCTTCGCACTTTTGCTGGACAATTTAAGCAATTGTCTCATGAACCTGAAACATTCAGGTGACTCAGCGGGATTCGAACCCATGACCTCTGCAGAGCACTGCACCGGCACCCCAGAGGTCATGGTTTCGAATCCCGTTGATCACCTGAATTTTTCAGGTTCATGAGACAATTGTTTAAATTGTCCAGCAAAAGTGCAGATCATATCTTCATTTAATTTACTTTTTCTTAGTGGATCCAAAATCTGCTTGAGTTGCGTTAGTAAAACTAACTGGGAATAACATATTTCAGGACAACCAAACACAATTACACCGTTATTACGAAAGACCTTACTTATTTATTTGCATCATTTATCAATCAACATGCCAAAGCATGTTGAATTGCAAAAAAACATTCATTTTTATAATAATAGACATTAGTGCTTAAACAACCAGGACATTTTTGGTGGTATAATTATCAAATAGTTTACATATGAGAATTTCGATGTTCTTTGTTTTGGGAACTTTGTAATTAATGTTAAGTTTTGTTTCGTTTTTCTTATCTTTTATTGAATTCTTGGTTTGAATTCTGGTTTTGTTCAAGAAGAACAGATTGAAATATGTAAATTATAAAATAGTTTTTCTCATCGCTTCAAAAGTTCCATAACATCCTGTTTTTATTAATGAAAATAATACTACTCCCTAACTTACTTCTTTTCGTTACGTTACAGAAAACTCAACATAACACAAATCAACGACGGTATTTGGCATCACCTGGCCATCATAATTGGTCACATGAGTAAAAATTTATCTTGATGGATTTAAAATTTATAACAAAACTAAGTTAAATCATTCATTACCATTATTACGCGATGGTGGTGTTGTTGCTATTGGTCAAAAACTTGAATGTGTGAATGGTGTTTTTGATCCAAATATGTCATTTGTTGGTGAAATAAGTTATTTGAACTTGTGGAACAATGACGTTACACGTGATAAATCCTGTCCTAAGATGCTGATCATTGATGAATGTACACGTGGTCTAAATGAAAATACTTTTGTAATTAAGTGGAGTCATGTGTACCAATTTGCAAGTGGAAATGTTACAAAAGTGCCTTCATTACCTAAGTTTGGTAAGTTAAAGCTGTATTTTTACTCCAATCTTTTATAATTATGTTTATAAAAATAATTCAAAGTCAAAACATTTTTCGTGAATTTTACTGAAAATGGTAAATAGTAAATAAAAAAAAACGCAAGTTCATTTCCTATAAAGCTAAATATTTAAATCAATGTAAGTATTTTAACTGTATTTTCTTTATACTTTTAATTAAAACGCACCCAACCAAACTGAAAATAAGATCTCATCTCGCACTTTTTTATCAATTATT